TTGATAATATCTGTGCGCCGTCGCGGTCCCTCGCTCGAACTGCAAAACCTTGAGACACCTCACGCGGCGTTGACAGGAGTACCGCGTATTAATAATCAAAACGGACTATGTCAATACCCCCTAATAAAATTATAAATAAAATGACTACCTACCGTATCTTTGGTGCTTGTTAGGAAGATTAGGTGCTCTTATAATATATTATAATAATTAATTATCTATTGTATGCTACATCTATGTTCACAACAGATAAACGTTTATTTATTATTAGTATATATTGAAATATAATGTAGAAATAATGAAGTAGGAATAGATATTATAAAATGTGGGTTGACTATTATGTAATGGGTATTGAAAGTGGCCGATTTATCAATTTGTGTAATACTAGCTGTTACCCGTGACTTTGTACACGTGTCGTTTTAAACTTATATTACTAAATAAACTTTTTTTAATCTACGTTTAATTTGGGATTTTTGTTTTTTAACATATCAATCCCATACAATCTAAACAAGTTATCTACTATTATAATTATGACTAAACAATACTACTTACTAATTCACTTAAGCACAAAGCAATTTTGGTAGTAGGAGCATGCATTATGCTCTGAACAATTCCCAAATCAAATTTATTAATATTAAATGTTTTTAAAAATGTTTCCCCTTTCCCTTCGGTTGCTATCACATTCCATCAATAGGTGCTGTACATCTTCAACTTTACCAAATTTTAGCTTTCTAGACTTTTTTTAAAATAGGATATTTAAGAATCACAATGCTAATGGTTTACATCGGATATTTCCTATTTATTTCGAATGGAAAGAATTATAATTAAAACATCTCAAAAGTCTAACTGTGGCTGCTAATCCGCCTGCCAGTATGATAATTACTGGCAAAACCCCCCATGGGGAGGCTTATTTTTTTGATGAGTGAAAATGGTATGATAACCCCGCCTGCGCTAACGGGATACGCTGGCGGAGCACCAGTGAAGGTGATAGATGAGAATGAAAACAGGCCAGTTAGCCCATCATGATGAATTCATCAGGAATTAACCACGATAGTTTCCAGGGGGAACCGCGAGGAGGTCGACCTGGTCGGGTATATTGCTAGCAATGGGATTCTCAGTCTCCATTACTAACAATCCCTTTCCCCCCAAACAATTATGGGAGGCTTATGTTCAGCAGTGGACAAATGAAGGCTAATATGATGATCATGATTCTCATATATAATAGTTTTACACACATAGGGGGGGGGTCATGGTTGAAACAGTATACTCTGCTATGTCCATGGTACTGCTCATGTCTATAGGCGACGGTTACCACTTTCCATCAGGTGGGCCGTCAGCTTGTTTGCCATTCTATTTGTATAAAAAAAAAATTTAAAAAAAAAACAATTTCATCTCAAACAGTACGTGTACAAATTTCATGATAACCGGTCGAGCCGTTAATGCGTCAAAAGATAACAAATAAACAAACTCACTTTGCTTCTAACTTTCAATCGATTTATAACAAAGCGGTTAACAATTTAAGAGTATTTATATTGCAAGATTTTCCCTAAGCGTGATTAGATTTTATAATTGATTTTTAATTTATTTCATATCATACATATAATTTGTATGAGCATTAAATTAGTGTGCGTTATTTTTTTATTAAATAAAGAAATACACGAAACTGTATGTACATCTCAGTAATTATCTAATATGTGTTAATACTTGGTATCTTAGTACCTATTTTACTAGAGGAAGACTGTACAAAAGTCGTTTGCTTGAGCACCTCTGTTCCATTCGTGTTTCTACCGTGAAGCAGTTGTATTTGCATGGCTGTATTTCGGTTTAAAGGGTGGAATAAGGCAGTGAATTTACAGGGTACAGAGGAATAACACCTGAGTCCTCAGGAATGGTAACGCATGGAGTGTATCATGAGCGAAACAGTATACTCTGTTATGTCCATGGCACTGCTTATGTCTATAGGTGACGGTTACCACTTTCCATCAGGTGGGCCGTCAGCTTGTATGCCATTCTAAGTTGTATAAAAAAAATACAACCTAACTAAAGCTTTGAGGTCGATTGAAAAGACTGATGACTGGTCGTCCCAAATTCTAAAATGATTTTACTACACTAGGTGCAAAAGAAAAATTTTAGTTAAGGTAGAGAATTCTGTGTAAATTAATATTATTAGTCCAATAAAATTTGTAAAATAGGACCTAAAAAGTGGAAACCGATGTTGGATAACATAAGTTAATTAGTACTCTGATTTTAAATATCAATTAAAAGTTGAATAAAAGAAGAATTTCTTAAGATTAAGTTTAGTGCAAATTATAATTTATGATTTTTATTTATTCCCAAGGATAAAGGCATTGTTTGTAGTAGGTAGTAGGATTTTTTATCTGTTGATCATTATCTATTTAAATATGTATATATATTAATACGTATCTTTTGTTATCGTCTTAAGCATTAATATCCGTGATTATAGGAGACCGACATTTTATCAATTCGTTTAGGTATATTATATACATATCTATATTGGTAAGTATATTTTTATATATATTATATTAGCATGTACTCGTATTAGATATTTATTATATTTATCTTTCTTCATTCTTATTCTATGAAAGAAAGAAAGAATAAAAGTTTTGCTCAATGTGTAGAGTGAAAAAAAAAAAAAAACTAAAAACCTATATGTTTTTTTATTAAATATATTTTAAAAAGTTCCGATTTCCCGCCACAATACCAGCCAATATTATTATTATCATAGATTAAGGATAGTACCTGAGACCCAAAAATTTTATAAATATAATAAAGTTAAGTAATTATATGTCCATTAAATTGCTGTTATCGAGTTTTCTATTTATAGTTTTATATAGTTATATTTTCACAAAGGTGACAAAAAAGCATACAGCCTGTCAATAGCAAACATTCACTGTAGCCTATGGACGCCTGTAACACCTGAATAAAACCTTAATACACCCTTTTTGGAGTACCGCATACTGTTATATATAGATGCTAGATATACAAATTTACTATATGAATTACTATTGACTTTTTAAATGCGCGCCTTAGATTACTTTTTCACTTGAGATCGTTTTTAATTTTTTTTAAAGGCGTACATTTAAAAAAAAATTGTGGCTATATTTATCATTTTATAATAGTTGTATGAAATATATACCTATAAACAGAATTACATAACACACAAAGACAAGGATTGATATTTTAAAACGAATCAAAAATAGTAATAATAATAAAAAAAAAATTACTTGATGACATATACGTACTAAAATAAATATGAAGTTTAAAAATTATTATAAAACATTATTTACAACTGATAACCATCGGGGGCAAAGGGATTATTAGTAACGGGGTCTAATTTCCTCATTACTAGCAATACACCCCATCAGGTCGACCTCCACGCGGTTCCCCTGGAAACTATTGTGGTTAATTCTAGTGGAATTCGTCACGATAGGCTAACTGTCCTGCTTTCATCGTCACCTATCATCCCTCACTGGTGTCCCGCCAGCGTGTACCGATAGCGCAGACAGGGTTACCATTTCATTATCGCTCCTTAAAAAAACTGATAACCATCTATGATAATATTGTCTATGTTATCAACAATAATAATATAAAAATAATAATCAACTATACATATATATACTTTATGTCATCTAATCATCGTCATCTTATCTGTATCGATGTTGAAGTCATAAAAAAAAATAATTATTCAGTGTATTATACCATTACTTTAAACCGGTTGTCGCTATTAACGCAGTACTGTGCGAATATAAATGAAAAAGAAGCCTGAAAAATTGTGAAATAGTGGTTTTGTGTTGTTTATTAATTTGTGTACGTGAATAACTTTATAATCACAATTAAAAGGTAACTTATTTATTTATTTATTTACACTTTATTGCACCAAGTACTTACTAAATTTACTTACTAAAATTTACTCAAGTTTATCACTTTATGCATGGAATTTTTTTAAGTTCCACGCTAACAAAATATTTAATTTTTATATTAATTTTGATATAAATGTATATGTACATTTATAATAATAATAGATAAATGATTTTATCCATTAGAATTTTCTATTTGAAATAATTTAACATAAAATTTCGAATTAGTTATATTAACGTATTAGTTATATTAATGTATTGAAAAATCGAGTTCCGAGAGTAATCGAGTAATTCCGAAATAACATGAGTACGTAAATAAATTATATATGTAAAGGTGATATATCTTTTTTTTATACAACTTAGAATGGCAAACAAGCTGACGGCCCACCTGATGGAAATTAGTATCAGTCACCTATAGACATGAGCAGTACCATGGACATAACAGAGTATACTGTTTCGCCCATGATACCCCCCATGCGTTGCCATTCCTGAGGACTCAGGTGTTACTCCTCTGTACCCTGTAAATTTACGCCATATTCCACCCTTCAAGCCGAAACACAGCCATACAAACACGACTGCTTCACGGTAGAAACACTATTGGAACAGAGGTACCCAAGCAATCTACTTTTGTATAAAGTCTCCCTCTGGTAAAATCTTTTAAAATCGTTTTAAATTTTCAAGTGACAATAACTCAATGTAAGTAATATTTATGGATAATGGAATTATAATATTAGGGAATCAGGAAAATTATCCGTTACTCATCGCTTTGAGCTCCCATCTGTACGTATTCATCCTTCCATGTCCATATTCCTTTAAAATCTCTAGGATTCAATCTTGCTTGTATAACAAAAATCGAAATAACGAAATGTATTTTGCAGAATTGTTGGATGCACACAACCACCTTATATCATGACGTTACTCCTCATTGACAGAGAATTCATGCTCGCATTCCAGAACCAAAATGATCACGCACAGTTTCAGACGAGTTTCCTCGCGTGAACACTCAAGTCGTGAAATAAAACTCGCGCCAATAATTTTCGTAGAAACTACTGCATACGTGTGGCCCTTCAAAAAGGGCGTCCATAGGCTATAATAACCGTTTATCATCATACCATCAGATGGGCTTACATATTGGCATAGTTCCTACATCTATCCATCCTTCCAAACTTTCACACTATATTGATAGGACATTTATACAAGGGAGGGAGGGATTGTTAGTAATGGGGACTACCAGTACCATTGCTAGCAATATACCCTGCCAGGTCGACCTCCCCGTGGTTCCCCCTGGAAACCATCGTGCTGAATACCAAGTGTATTCATCACGATGAGCTAACTGACCTGCATTTTCATTCTCACCTATCATCCATCACTGATGCTCCACCAGCGTATACCGTTAGCGCAGACGGAATTATCATTCCATTATCATCCACTAAAAAAAAAAGAGACATTTATACAAAAACAACACCTGTGTGGTGGTCAGCGCCTAAACAATGATGACGGCTTAATGATTCATATCACTTATAAGTATGACCATTAGCTCATTAGTCGTAAACAATATCTCTGTTCATACTACTATCTGCTACATTGTGCGTATCGAATATCAATAATATGTATACCTATCTACATTAATGTTACAATATTAAAAAGAGAAAAATATTTTTTTTTTTTTTTGTATTTGTTTGTAATGAATAAATTCAAAAACTACTCAACCGACTTTAACCCTTCTTTTCAGGGGGGAAAGGGATTGTTAGTAATGGAGACTGAGAATCATATTGCTAGCAATATACCCTAAAGAATCAAAATTTACTTATTAAACCTAATATAAAATATTACTTTATCTTTCTATCTGCCCGTGTAAAGCCAGAGCATATCACTGACACCTAATAATTTCATCCTTACTTATATTATAAATGTGAAAGTAAGTTTGTTCATTTGTTACCTTTAGTCAATCACTATGAAATTCGCTATATGGGATGGAGAAAAATATAGGCTACTTTTTATGCCGGTCAGTCAGGTCAGTCAAACGAAGTCGTGGGTAAAAGCTAGTATTTAACAAATGCATGGATTTAGTTTCCCAGCGTTGACGTGTTTAGGTACTTTTATATGGTACTTTGTTGTCGTTTGCTTGGGTATCTCTGTACCATTCGTGTTTGAACCGTAAAGCAGTTGTGATATGGCGTGAATTTACAGGGTACAGAGAAATAACACCTGAGTTCTCAGGAACGTATGGGGGGTATCATGGGCGAAACAGTACACTGTTATGTCCATGATACTTTTTTTTTTAATGGATGATAATGGAATGGTAACCCCGCCTGCGCTAACGGTATACGCTGGCGGGGCACCAGTGATAGATGATAGGTGAGGATGAAAAGGCAGGTCAGTTAGCCCATCGTGATGAATACACTTGGAATTCAGCACGATGGTTTCCAGGGGAGACCACGGCGAGGTCGACCTGTTAGGGTATATTATTAGCAATGGAACTGATAATCCGCATTACTAACAATCCCTTCTCCCCTTGTCCATGATACTGTTCATGTCATTTGGCTTGGCAGGTATGAGAATAGGTCGTAAAGTATATTTTATACCACTAGGTGATAAGGGTTTCCCCGAAAAAAAAAATAATATGCCAGAACCACATATAAAAGTAATATTTAATTATCATTACATTTTAGTAGTCCATCTGAGATTTCGCCTAAGAACTAGATTACACAATGTCTTTGCATTTCGTATTTCTTTGCATATCTATGTTTAATATTCGAAAAAATCTTGCCTCATTATTTTATACTTATCGAAGCGCCTGGAGTTTTGGCCTCTGTTTAGCTGAAATGCTGCGCAAAAAGTGACGTCAAGCAAATTATTGCCTTTCTTTCATTGCAAATTATATTTTTTATTTATTTTGGCAATTTAACACTCTCTTTACTGTCATTTGAATTTTAGAAAACTTATGTTTTTTACAGAATCTTTTGTTACTTAATTTTAAACTTTCGCGTTGTTTATACGATATTATAAGATGTTATTTTTACTAGTTACCTATTTTTTTTTTATGCAACTTAGAATGACAAACAAGCTGACGGCCCACGTGATGGAAAGTGGTAACCGTCGCCTATAGACATGAGCAGTACCATGGACATAGCAGACTATACTGTTTCACCCATGATATCCCCCATGCGTTGCCATTCCTGAGGACTCAGTTGTTATTCCTCTGTACCCAGTAAATTCACGCCAAACCTAGCAACCACCACGAAGTACGCTACACATACATAGCCTATCTACGGTTGTCAACACACCTGCCAAGTGTGGAAACTACTGGCAAAAGTCTCCTTATGGGGAAGGCTTATGTCCAGCAGTGGACAGTTAACGGCTGAAATAATAATTATACATATTTCAAATGCACTATCGGGAAACACAGCTTGCTATGGAGACAACTATGCTCGAAATCTCTTTACGTGATAGAGTCCGAAACGAGGATATCCGCAAAAGTACCAAAATAACCGACATAGACCGAAGGATAAGCAAGCTGAAGTGGCAATGGGCTGGTCACATAGCTCGAAGAACCGACAACTGGTGGGGAAGAAAGGTTCTTGAGTGGCGACCGCATACGGGTAAACGCAGTGTAGGACGACCCCCACTAGATGGAGTGACGACTTGAAATACGTTACAGGGAATCAGTGGATGCAGGTGGCTCAGGACTGTTCCATATGGCAGTCTATGGGGAGACTTATGCCCAGCAGTGGACGTATAATGCCTGAAATGATGATGATGAATGATAATCGGGAATTAAAGGGATGAAAAACTTTTTTTTGCAAATAGTACCTACATACCTGCTTCTTTATTGGCGACGTTTCAACGTGGATTACACCACGTCGTGGTCACGTCACGTGGTCGTGAAGCAGATATGTATGCATACAGCATATATAAGCAAGCATGTATGTGCAAAAATGTTTTTTTGTCGCGCTAAGTCCCGATAGTGTATTTAAAAAATACATTCCTTATTTATAATTCATTAATTAATTAATTTATAGTTACATTAGCCTTTATAGCTATTTATCTGTTAAATCTGTCTCGTATTAATACCTGTATTGTTCTCTAACTAATATTCACTTATTTTTTTTTAATATATGTTTGAATTGTTACAGATCATGCAAGATGGAGGTGCACATTCGGCTCGCAGCAATTACGCTGTTCCTGTTGTCAATAGGAAATGTTCAATCGGAAAATGATCAGTCTGACTGTAAGTATTTTTTTTTAATTTCGCAGTTAAAGATTTTGTCCCACACGAAATATACTTTAATCGTCACAAAAGTATAATAGTATGAAACGTAGTATTATGAGCGGCTCACTGTCACTCACCATCAGATGAGCCGTATGCACGTTTGCCCCTTGTGTTATAAAAAAATAAAAATAAACTCTATATTTATCAAAAAGAACCATCAAAATCGGTTTAAAATTGACGCAGATGTAATAGTAGAAACATAATTCCTCCCGCGAACGCTCAGGTTGTGGAATGACTTTTCTTCCAGGGTTTTTCCTAAAGACTACAGCATGGGGTTCTTCAAAAAGAATGTAATAATGTTTCTGAAGTTCTAAATATTATATAATCACCCAGGGAGATTATACAATATATATTGTTACCCAGGGTTTATATAATCGAAATCCAAACCAGAAATTTGATTATTTATGTTTATTTTATTATATAATCCATAGACAACATTGTCATTCTATGACATGCACAATGTATCCATAATTTATATTAAAAATTTAACAGCACCTCTAGTTGATGAATTTGGAAACTTAGATTTTCATACAAACATGTCGACGTAGACATGAATACAGCAAACATTTGTAAAACTCCTATTCGACAAAAAGGACGAAAGGGTATTTTCTAAAACGAATTAATACTCTATAACATAATCTAATTTCAACATTATCTTGGACAAATATCTAATTTAGTTTTATGTTTTGTATATATTTTCATGTATTGTTCATTTAAATAGTTATACAATATACATACACATACAATTTTCATTTCAGATCGCTGTTCCTTCATGACAGCAATACCAAGACCTGAAAGACCGTACCTACCTGATCAAGACTTTACTGGTTTGTTATATCATGAAAGAGTTAATATTTAAGTTTACATTTAAATTAAAATAGTAGGTACTTCGATACTATATTTACCCTCTTATTCATAAAAATTAAACTTACAAATCTATTTTAACTATTACACTGTTTTGTCACTATCTTCCAAATTAGGGATGTACCACAAAAGAAAAAGACAAAACAGTTCAGTAGCTAAAATCAAATGGCACTGTCGATACAATTCATATCTGTAGGTAGTTTATTTTATTGTTCACATCTATTACATTAATATAGAAAAAGTATTTAGTGCATTATTTTTTTTATGTACAAGTAGCAACTCTCGCCTATATATGAATAGCACCACAAACATCCCAAAATATATTGTTATGCCCACGATACTTCTCGAGCGTTGACGTTCTTGATAACTAAGGCACTATGCTTCGCTACTCTATAATTTCACTGCTATATTCCACGCTTCAAACGAAATACATTCATACAATCACAGTTGTTTGGCTGTACAAATACAAGTAGGTCAGAGCAATGGCGGACTAAACCCGTCAGAGGCCCAAGGTGCAAAATAGAATAATGCCCATAGTTTAAGAAGTTGATGTAATTTTACAAGCTTTTTACCCAGTCCACATTTGTATGTATATAGTGTTTATTTTAATTTCAATTAGGCTTAAAGTAAACATACATAGAATATGAATATGGATGAAAAAGATAGAAGAGTTTGGAGGCCTACAGTACCAGAAATCCGGGATGGGCCATCCCATCTGCATACCCGTCGATTCGCCACTGGGTCAGAGGGGCCCATGCAGACGACTTTTTTAGTCTCCCTTATACAAGTTGGCAGTTATTGATTATTTATTCAGGTATATCATGATCACTATTACTGTAATATATTATAGGCATACCATGGAGCGAACGACAAATACTACCTGCACAACCAGAACGCAAGGATGTATGCGTAGAACATTTCCCGACCCCTATTACACTATCGAGAACGCAAATCATATATATGGACGAGGAGATAGAAGGAGACGTCGTTATAGCTAGACTCAATTACTATGGTGAGTTGTAAAAAAAATACAAAGAAACATACGGCTGGCCTGAGGTCTACAATAAAATGTTTTCCGAAATTTTAGAGCCGAACGATTTACAAATTTAAGGTTAAATTTACATAATACATCGTTTAAAAACATATATAAAATGTCCTTTAGTCTTTTATGGTGTATTTTTGACGAAAAGCTCTATGATCTCTATTATGTTTCAGCTCTATATATATCTAAGCTCTATGATATCTATGAAATTGAGTCCAAAAATTCAGAATTTCTTTTCAAGATAGTCCCCTGTTAAACGGATTTTAGCAAAATCCGGATTTTGCATTACAGTACTCAGTGTACCCATAATCCAGTGACGTCACTGCAATATCTTATTCTTCTAACTGGAACATAAATCGATGTCTGTTGTCTTTTAGAACAAACAAAATTGAAAATTATTATTATACATATAGTCATATTGAATCTCCATGAATACCCTACGTAATATTATGGGAGTTATCCAACCATGTATTTTAGGAGATACCGCGCCGGTAATTCAAGTTCCTTTTGATCTCGGATCGTCCATTATGCTTGGAGCCAAAATCGAGAAAGATGGAAACGGGGATTGGGAACTAGTTATTACGCAGAGGTACGTATAAATATTCTTGTTTAAAAACATTACATTAATTAAAAGTAATAAAGCTCTCTAAACTCTTTTAAACTACGAAACAATTGTCTCCGACATATACATTGGAACCATTACGAGAATATATTTGTTTTATTTTTTTATAAAGTATTAAAAGAAAAATATAAACCTATAAGTGTTGATAACAAATTTATGACTTACAGACAAGACTATGAAAGTCCAGGTATGCAGAACTATATATTCCAAATCAATGCACCAGGAGAAACAGACAACGTTCGTATCTTACTGAGTATTGTGAACATCGATGACAATGATCCAATTATACGCTTGTTTGACACTTGCCAAGTAGAGGTAAGTAGAGTAATACAACCCGTTGATGTATCTGCTGCCTTATCTGTGATCATGTAGCTGTTTAAGATGTGGCAGTGAAATTATAGGGTTTGGAAGCATAACACCTAAGCTATAACATTTCCTCAAGAACAGCATACATATGAGGAGTATCATATACATCACAGGGATTTTTGGCGACATTTATGTATAGTCGTTTATTAGATTTAGTTTACTAGAGTTAGTAGTTTACTAGAGGGAATCTTTGTACAAAAGTTTACTTGGGCACCTCTGTTCCATTTGTGTTTCAACCGTGAGTGCAGTTATGTTTGCATGGCTGTGTTTCGGTTTGAAGGGTGGGATATGGCAGTGAATTTACTGTGTACAGAGGAATAACACCTGAGTCCTCAGGAATGGCAACGCATAGGGGTATCATAGGCGAAATAGTACACTCTGCTATGTCCACTATGGACTGTTCATGTTTATAAGCGACGGTTACCACTTTCCATCAGGTGGCACGTCAGCTTGTTTGCCATTCTAAGTTGCATAAAAAAATAGTCACGGATTCGATCACCGGGACGTACAACTATATTCATCATCATCATCATATCAGCCTTTAACTGTCCACTGTTGAACATAAACTTCCCCCTGGGGGGGGGGGGGGGTTCCAATAGTTACTACGCTTGGCAAACAGATTGGCAATCGCAGTTAAGCTTTAGAGACGTTTTAACCCTGCCTTTCATGATTTTTTTTATTGGTGAAATAAATCAAGGTGATATAGTTCATGTTCAAAATAAAAGAAAAAATAGTAAAAAAAAATAAATTTGACAACTATGTTTTTTTTTTTGCAATGGACATTAAAAAGGTATCCAGACACGATTGACTTAAAGTGAACTTGTTCTTTTATATAATTTTTGGGCATTCAATGTTATAATGTAAACTTCCACCATTATGCACAAAAGGGTTAAGAACGACGCTGCTACCCATCCCTCGCCCTCACTTAATCACCTCTTACGATACCCACGGGAAAGGAAGAGGTGATCTATTCTATGACGGGACCACAGGGCCACGACCACACTACCCATAGTCATCTTTTATTATCTCTTATTATTGCTTCCTGTCTACAGAAAATTCATCGCACACTCTAGAAACGAAATGGTTTCTGACAGTGCGGTGTCAGGGATTTTTTTCTGCAGTTACTTTTACTTTAATAAACTTCCTATCGAGGTTTTCTCTAGAGATTATAATATGACATTTTTAAAGAGTATAGATATATTTCTTTGTTTAACTGGGCAAGTAGTCAGGGTGGTTACATCGCAACTGTAGCTATTAATGATATTTGAAGGAAAAGCCGAATTCTGTCAGGCATCCGAAACCGACGAGCCTGTATAAATATTTTTTTATTGGATGATAATGGTATGGTAACCTTGCCTGCGCTAACAGTATACGCTCGCAGGGCACCAGTGAGGCATAATAAATGAGGATGAAAAGGCAGATCAGTTAGTCCACTTGCAATCGGAGATGTGAGTGTGAAAGCGAACCCATGTCTCCGACATATGGCACCTCGAGGGTATATCGTCTGGTTTTTGAGGGATTCCCACAGTACCCATTCACCTCCCACAAGGTATATGAGTCTGCATAAAGCATTTTCTAGATGTTAAAAAAAAAAGGTCAGTTAGTCCATCGTGATACATTCACTTGGAATTGAACATGATGGTGGACAGGGTGTATTGTTCGTAATGGGGCTACTATCTTATCCGTTCACCCCCCCCCCCCCAACCCCTCTTATATTATTATTAATTATTATATATATTAAGGATACTTGAAAAGTATGTCAAGATAAAAACAAATAGTGATCTGTGATTTCTGTCTGATTGTTAACCATATTTATGCAGGAATTAGGAGAACCTGGTCGTCTAACAAACTGTACGTATGAAGTATGGGATGCGGACGGCTTAATCAGTACCAGCGCCATGACGTTCAGGATCGACAGCAACCGTGATGACGACCAGATATTCTATATTGACGCGCACATACAAGAGAATCTGTTCTATATGAACATGACCATCGGCCTCAACCGATCCCTCAACTTTGTGGATAACGCTTTGCATATCTTCACAATTACTGCAATGGTAAGCAATTTATGAACATTATAAATTACAGTTTTGAAACAAATTCTGCATTTGGGAATCTTTGATTATCAACCATCAACCAGTGAAAAGGTTTGTCAACCAAATATTTTAACAATAACTCATCCTCTTCCTACCCTTATCCCAATTATTATATGAGGTTGGCATAATGTTTTGATCCATATTACAAAAAGATTTGGCTTATAGTTTTACGACCGGCCGCTTGCCTGACGTCAACCATCTTTGGGAATATAAGTAATAACTATTCCGTGATAATTAAAATCTTTCAACATGGAAGGTAAAAGTTTGTAAAGACGTCTAGGATCTTTGGTCCGAAATTTTATTCAACTACGTTTAATCATCATGATTGGTTAACAGATTCACAAAATTTCATCATTATAATAGTAGAATGGTGCGATTTTATTGCACACTAGATTTTTGCTCGCTACTTTCTATATGTGAATTTCAGAATTAGGAAAATCAAATAAATAAACCACTTATACAAAAACCAAAACATACATCAGCTTTTAATTTAGACCTTCAAAAACACAACTGCAAAACCTGCGTCTAATTTCGTATATTATTTTTTGTATTATGCCGAAATAAACGTACAGACTGACAGACAAAATTTCAAAAAATTAATATTTTGGCTTCTATTAGTCTTGATTAGATCTCTCATAATATTTTTTACTTAAATATCTCCCATGTACAGGCATCATCTAGTTATATTTTATTATTTATTTATTGTTCCTTGACTACATTTAAAAAAGTATTTGGTACAAAAGGAGGACTTAAATCCGCCTATGCTTATAGTATTATCGCCTAGTCACTCTTTGGCAAAAGAGTAATGTAACAGTAATGCGGTAAATAATATTGAAAATTGAACATTTTTGTAAATAAAATTATATTAGTAAGATTAAAATAACCTTAGAGTCATGTGGGGTAAACGTACGCGGCGAAAAAGTGTCCGCAGTGAACATTCTGCGAACCCCATAGATGACAGCAGGTCGAGACCTATCGCGTTTAGTTAGCACTTAACCACCAAGCGAGAGTACTACGTCACAGGTTTGCTGCACAATGCTGTAGAAACTTATACAGCAGTATTGCTTTTGCACGGATTTGTTATTTTTTTCTTTAAAATTAATTTGCATAGTTACTGAAGCAATGTTATTAGTCTGATTGTATAATAAAGTGACTGAGAACAGAAGTTATTCAATATTTTGTGTGAATCTATTTATTTTGTCTAAAGTAAGTCATACTTCGAAATTTTATTATTTTTATTTGCTTTAATGGGTTGAGGTAAGTGTCCGCATTAATTAAAATGCGTATACTTACCCAGTCATATTTGTTTGCCTTCTAGTTGACAAAATTGTTTCCGGAGAACGTGGTCAAACTATAACCGTAGTTTATTGTGTTAATGCAACTGGAAATTATGTGCCGCCTGCATTTATTTTTCCTCGAAAAAGAATGAAGGGTGAACTTATGGACGGAGCTCCGGCTGGTAGTATTGGCATGACATCTGATTCCGGATTCACCAACGCGGACTTATATTTTCAGTGGCTGGTACACTTCAAGGAATGCACTTCACCACTACTGATTATTGACAATCATTCAAGCCAGTGGTAAGTGACTACCGCCGCCCATGATCATCCACAACACCATCGGCATTGCAGGTGTGCTGCAGGCCTTTTAAAAAGGAATATACTCTTTTCTTGAAGGTTATGTTGTCGTATCGGTTCGGAAACACTGCTGCTGGAAGTTGATTCCAAAGAATGGTTGTGCGTGGAAGACGATTTATTTACAGAAGCAGAATTGGCACCATCTGCAGACACTGATATGTGTAATCTATCTGCTGATGCTATAGCTCGAAATATACCTTCTTTGAACTCTATAAGCACAGTAGACGTTTTAGAGATACAAAGCCATAAAGTTATATCTGTTACCTTGATGGCACGACGCCTGTACAAGTTACGAAGAGGGTACATTCACATGTGATTTTTGTGCAATAGCAAATTAAGTTTACGTGTGTACACTTAACCGAAGGTGTGCGGATACTTTCCCGCCGATGCGGGTAAAAACCCGCGTTTCCCTTGTTCATTAAATGATTAAATAAAACTAATAGTTATTGTTAGAATTAAAATTTTATATTTTGTTTTTCTTCTCAAATGTTTATAACATTAAAATAAAAGTTTTTTTCTTTTCAATTATCAAAATCTTTTATTCTGGAAGCAATTAACTAAAAAATGCGTACGTTTACCCCATATGACTCTACTAATATATATATATATATATATATATATATATATATATATATATATATATATATATATATATATATATATATATATATATATATATATATATTTTTAGATATTAAGACTACTACAAACAAGGAGTGGGGCAAGGAGTGGGGAGCCAAGCCTATAAAAACCGGGTAGTTCATAGCATTGGTCTTTTTCGTTCGCCAACTCTCGAGGAGCGCAGACGGTGTGTGTGACGTGTTTTGCTGTAATCGGTTTATTATTATTTTAATTACTTAAGATTGGTGATTTGTTCGATTTATTATTTAAATATCTTTATAAAATTGTTATAATTTTGTAATAATAAGTATTAAATCATTTGTGTTGCTACCGTCTTCTTTTTTTTAATTATTTTCCACTTCTGATGCTAAAATCAGAAGTGGGATAAAGAACTTAAATGCCCACTATAACTTTCGATCTGTTTAATATAAGATCAACAAAGCACCAATCTTCTTTTGTTTTTATATTTCCTATATGTGCATGAACAATTGTTGTTTAACATTATGTGTGATAAGCAGAGTCAGTCGCGCAGCAAGACGCGTCGACACGACCGTGATAGTAGATCGCGTGATAGGTCGCATAGTAGATCGCATGTTAGATCACGCCATAGGTCGACTTATAGATCACCTACTAGATCGCGAGATAGGATGCAAACATCACAGCCTAGGTTACGGAATAAACGTACTAACACGCCTCCTCGCCAACCCATAGTATCCCATAATTCGATGCAAGAAACCTTACAAGCGATATTGACGCGATTAAATACATTAGAAAAAAACTATTCCACAAATAATCATAGTGATAATACTTGTCAACATAATCTCGAATTACCCACCATTTCCGATGTAACATTTAACTGTTCTACGCCAAGTAGGAATGTCACCGTAACTAAAGTACAGCAAAATAACGTATCGAATATTCCCATTCATGTGACTACCCCACCTGGGGATCGCCAACTGGACACATCCCGGTCCGATATTATTATTAACAATGTTGATCAAGCTTTCCGCGAAGATAGGGTAGTAGATAGTACGCAAGCATTAGCAGACGCGATTAAATCTATTAGTTCACAACGGTCGCAACCCTATTTTGTGTCTAGTTTTGATCCCTCACTTCATAATATCGAGGTATGGTGTGCAGAGGTTGAACGCGCTAAGGATACTAACGGGTGGAGTGATTCGGAGTGTTTGTCACGTGTATCGAAATGCCTCAGGGGTGACGCGCGCACTTGGTTAGACGAGTGGGTAACTAATGAAAGGACATGGTCCAATTTTCTACAAGAATTTAAACCACTTTGTCCGCGTACACTTGACTATGCCAATATACTATTCGATATTATGAAAACAACTTCCGAAAAATTTTGTACTTATGCTGAATACGCTCGACGTAGCCTATTACGTTTACGTGTAGTAAAGGGACTAAGTGAGGAGCTCATGACACTAATAATCATACGCGGTATTAGTGACCCTCAAATCCGAGCCGCCGCAGCGAATGCTAATTTGACTTGCGACAACATAGTGTCGTTTCTTAATATTTACGTTAAACCTAGCAATAGTACGGCAACAAGAAATAATCTAGGAAAGCGCCCCTTACCTTTAAATCATATGAAAGGTCCCCTTAGGTGTTTTAACTGTGGTCAGTCTGGACATAAAAGGTTGAATTGCACGAAAAAGCCAAAGGACACTGTTGTTTCTACCCACGCTATTGTTGATTCTTCTGAATCTACGCAGCGATCTGTCACTTCGGAATACAAAACCACAAAATGTGACTTTTGTAAGAAACCGGGCCATCGCGAGGAAAATTGTTTCGCGAAAGAAAGATCGAACATGCGTAATAAACGAAACGTAAATTTATGCACTACCCTTTTGTTAACGGATCCCTCTCGAAGCAAAGACGTAGTAACAGCGGTAATACAGGGTATTCCCGTTGATGCACTCATTGATAGTGGCGCCTTGAATATTTCGCTTATATCATCCGGGGTAGTAAAATATTTTTCATGTGAATTAAAACCTATTAATTGTGCGTTAAAGGGAATCAGTGCAACAGTAATTCATGCCAATTCTTATGTAACGTTGACTATCGAATTTGATGAAATTACTCTTGAAGCGGATTTTGTAGTCGTTCCAGAGTCATGCATCGCATTTCCTTTGATAATAGGTACGGATATACTTAATCGCGATAGTGTCACTTATGTTAGGTCTAAAGATAAACAATATTTAACGCGTTCACCTATGACACAACAGCAAGTAAATACGGTAGTCCCCAATACAAAAGACCAAATCAATACACCTCTTCAAGGTGATGATCGCAATTTGCTCATGTTAGTGATTAATGACTTTTCAAATTATTTGATATCTGGTACAGCTTCAACAACTGTTACTACAGGCAAAATGAGTATTGTCGTTAAGGATGATACTCCTATAGCTTATAGACCGTATAGATTATCACATCAAGAGAAACTCAAAGTTCGTGAAATAGTACATGATTTAAAAGAAAAAGGTATCATTCGCGATTCAAATTCAGAATATGCTAGTCCCATTCTTCTTGTGAAAAAGAAAGATGGCAGCGATCGAATGTGCGTTGACTTCCGAGCATTAAATCGAGTAACTGTTAGAGACCGTTATCCTATGCCTCTCATTGACGACCATATAGATCGATTAGATTAGAACTTTAAATATTTTTCGAGTTTAGATATGGCTACTGGCTTTCATCAAATCCAAATAGATGAGAAATCTATACACCGAACGGCATTTGTCACTCCAGAGGGTCATTTTGAATATTTAAAGATGCCCTACGGATTGACTAACTCTCCGATTGTATCATTAACGAAACCCTTCGCAAACATATTGAGGCTGGTAATGTGTTAGTTTACGTAGATGACGTCTTACTGATGAGTCACACAGTCGAAGAAGGTATTAACCTGTTGAGAGACGTGTTAACGACTCTGACAAATGCGGGCTTTTCTATTAACTTGCGGAAATGTACCTTTCTCTCGATGCAAGTAGAATACCTAGGGCGTATGGTGAGCCAAGGTCAGGTTAGGCCGAGCCCCAGTAAGGTGAAAGCACTGGTGAACGCCCCGGCTCCCGCAAACGTTAAACAGGTTAGGCAGTTCTTAGGCTTGTCAGGTTATTTTAGACGTTACATAAAAAATTATGCAACCAAAACCGCTTTCATATCACGCCTAACTAAGAAAAATATTGACTTTTGTTGGACACCGGAGCAAGAACGTGCGCGTCAGGAAATCATAACTTATCTAACCAGTGAACCCATATTAGCTATTTTTAATCCCTTAATTATCGCTATTCTCCAGTAGGCGATGAACCGGGACTACTTTGTTTTATACCAAAGGGGCATCGGTTAAGTTTGTTGAGAATATTTCATGACGGACACGAACATATAGGCGCGGACAAAACTCTAGATTTAATACTTAAACATTTTTGGTTTCCTGGATTACGACAATTTGTTAACAAATACGTTACGCATTGTTTAGTATGTTTATCCAAAAAAACGTGTACCCAGGGCTCCACACCAGCTAATAACTTCATGGAAAAAGCCAGACACCCCTTTTGATACTTTGCACTTAGACGCTTTAGGACCATTGCCCGAGTCCAACGGTTATAGATTTGTGTTACTAATAGTAGATGCTTTTACAAAGTTTTGTATGTTATATGCAATACATAGGCAAGACGCAGGCGAACTTGTACGTATACTCACTAATGCTATATCATTATTCGGTGTACCAAGATTATTAGTAACAGACCGTGGGCGAATGTTTGAATCGTCCATTTTTACTAAGTTCATCTCCGAACTCGGTTGTTCAATACATTATATAACACCTGAGATGCATCACTCTAACGGTCAGATAGAACGGTACGTGCGGACCGTACTTAACATGATTAGAATCGAAGCCAACCATAAGATGGCGTCATAGTCAGATCAGCTATGGCGGCTTCAACTCATCTTGAATATTACCAAACAAATGACGACACAGACGTCAGCTCTGAACCTGCTTGTTGGCACTGAAGCAACGACGCCACTTATCCGTTTACTGGTACGAGACGTAGCAGTGGAAGGATCTTTATGTAATAGGGAAGGTTGGCGCGAAATTCGAAGGGCGAGGGCCAACGAATTATTGGAGAAAAATCGGGAATGTCAAAATAATTACGTTAATCGAAATCGGTGTGCACCTCGTATTTTTAAAGTCAATGACTTAGTGTTTGTCATTAAATACTCGCAATCAACGGGTAAGTTGGACCCAGGAATGCGAGGACCGTACAAAGTCACCAGGATTTTGCCTAGTGGCCGCTATGAGTTGAAATTGTTGAGTGGGTCATACGGGAAGACTACACAAGCGGCAGCAGAATACATGGTTCAGTGGCACGGGGAATGGTGTCCCGAAACGTGCGCCTCATTTTTTGCAAGTAAGTTGACGGTTACTATTTTGTATGTACATGTTTGTATCTTAGGCAGTCACAAAATTACATCATACACACATATCAAGCTCGCCCTCCACTGACTAATACTAACCCATTAAAATAACCTCCCTGTTTCACTACACTCATACACAGTGGCTGGCTGAGTTATAAACATTGTGCTGGTTGGTAACCTGTTAGACTCATATGGTGTGTCTTCTAAATCAAATGTACACGGTACATTGGGATGTGCGATTCAGTGATGCCTCCATCCCGGACCGGTCAGAGCAAGCGATTCAGCGATGCCTCTGTCTGACTGGTGACGTAAAGCTTTACAATGGTGTGTAAAGATTTTACGGGTATCAGCAAGCGATTCAGTGATGCCTCTGCTGATGCAGGCACTGGGGACGCCCTTTGCCTGATTTGTTCACAGATGTAGCAACTCTGCCAGTTTGGACTTCGAACAGCCCAGAGAAGAGAAGAACCTACCACTATGTCCCCAAGTTGAGCTCTTTATAACCCAGACCTTTTATGATTGAAATATGAAAGTGAATTAATTTTCCTACATTAAATAACGAGTGAAAGATAGACGAATGAATGTGATAAAGACGCGAGCTTTTGTGTGTATGATTCATATATGTTTCAGATAACTCTGATGATAGTGATCCTATAGCAGGACCATCGGGATCACAAGGAAGCACCTGCACGCCACAGAACGTCTTAGAGGAAGACCTGTGTCTATCATCGAGCACTGACGAAGATGCTAGAGTCGAGGACGACTCTACGTCAGGATAGGCCGTGTTAGATATTAAGACTACTACAAACAAGGAGTGGGGCAAGGAGTGGGGAGCCAAGCCTATAAAAACCGGGTAGTTCATAGCATTGGTCTTTTTCGTTCGCCAACTCTCGAGGAGCGCAGACGGTGTGTGTGACGTGTTTTGCTGTAATCGGTTTATTATTATTTTAATTACTTAAGATTGGTGATTTGTTCGATTTATTATTTAAATATCTTTATAAAATTGTTATAATTTTGTAATAATAAGTATTAAATCATTTGTGTTGCTACCGTCTTCTTTTTTTTTAATTATTTTCCACTTCTGATGCTAAAAATATATATATATATATATATATATATATATATATATATATATATATATATATATATATATATATATATATACCTACACTCAAATAACTTATCATTCAGGATTCTTATCCTAACAACCACACGGTGACTATAATGGTGCAAGTCATAAATGTGGAACACCGGGTTCCTCGATGGATTGAGATCTTCGCGGTGCAGCAATTCGATGAAAAGACCTACCAGGAGTTCACGGTGCAAGCGGTCGACGGGGACACCGGCATCGACAAACCTATTTGCTACAAATTAAAGACGGAGCCCAATGGTAACTAGTAATGGATATATCTACCCACTTACATCGTCATAGTCGTAGAATACTGACAGATCTGTATATTTAATATTTGTCAGATCCGTCAGTATTCTACAACTATGACGATATCATCATCATCATATCAGACCTCAATAGTGGGGGGAAAAGGATTGTTAGTTATGGGGTCAAATAGCCTCTTTACTAGCAATATAGCCTGTCAAGTCGACCTCCACGTGATTCCCTCTGGAAACCATCGCGGCCAATTCTAGTTGAATTCATAAGGATGGGCTAACTGACCTGCTTTCATCCTCATCAATTATCTATCACTGCTGCTCTAAGCCATTTTGTTATATATATATATATATATATATATATATATATATATATATATATATATATAATCCATTTTGTTCTTTCTCTTTTTAGTGTCTCTTGTTTTTTTATTTTAATCTTTATTAATAAGATTTTGATATCTGCTACTAAAAAGAATAATAAAATATTCCTTTCTTTTTACAGACACGTTTTTTTCTATTGAAACCATCGAGGGCGGTCGTAGCGGTGCCATTTTTCACGTTTCTCCTATAGACAGAGATGCACTAGAGAGAGAAATTTTTCAATTATCCATAATAGCATACAAGTGTGACAATGAGACTTTGGCGACAGAAGATCCTGTTGTAATAATAGTGAATGATATAAACGACCAACGACCGGTGCCGTTGCAGAAGGAATATTACATAGACATATTGGAAGAGACGGCACTGACGCTCGCATTTGACGAACCTATAGGATTTCATGACAGAGATTTGGTATTTATCTTCTAATATGGAAAAATTTACTGTTTTTGTGGCTATAGGGGAGACCTATGTGCAGCAGTAGAGAGAAAACGGCTTAGATAAGACGACGATGTCGATGAAAAAAGAATAGCTTGGTCCCTTAATGTTAATTTTTAATCAACGAACATAATCTAATTTGATATTAATTCATGAATGTCCCAATACTAAGCAGAGTATCCTCTTATAAACGTAGGACATCTACAAGTAAATTTTTGGTGTAATCATTAACAAGTAAAATCATCGTTCGTCATCAATTCATTAAGGAACGGTCCCGAGTCATCTATATCTAGTGGGGAGTCGTTTTACAATGCATTGTACGGGATCGCCACTATTACAAGTAACATACTTAGCTCGTCTATTGTACATCTTTATTAAATATATTTTATATCTTTGTAATTTTTTTGTATACAATAAAGTGTAAATAAAATAAATTAAAATAAAATACTTGACGTAAATTTACTTTTTCAGGGTGAGAACGCGCAATACAGAGTGCATTTAGAAGATGTCAATCCCCCGCATGCTGCGTCAGCGTTTTACGTAGCTCCCGAAGTGGGCTATCAGCGTCAGACTTTTATTATGGGCACAGTGAACCACAGCATGCTTGACTATGAAGTTGAAGAATTCCAACATATAACATTACATGTAAGTTTCCTCATTACAATTAGAATTATTCGTGATTGTATAACAAACTCTCCTCGGGTATCCATTCGAAAAGACAGAGAATTAAAAAAGTTACGTGACAACTGTCGCTTGAATCACCACGGAGATCGACTTGCAATGCATTAAAGTGTAATGTCATACTATCAGGGTTTTGCTCTTTTTAGGGCAAAGCTAAACCCTTGTTTTCTAAATTAACTTAATATTAATTTCATGTAATTCTGACAGGATCTAAATAATATTTAATATCATTCATATTTAAAGAAAAAAATGTCAAGTATTGAACAAATTACAGGTAATAGCAACGGATTTGAACAACCCAGATTTTAAAGGCATCGCCACTGTCTTTATTAATTTGATTAACTGGAACGACGAGTTGCCAATTTTTAACGACACTATTCAAGAGGTCTCCTTCAATGAAACCGAAGGGCAGGGTTTCTATGTAGCGACCGTGAGGGCATACGATAGAGACATTGATGACAAAGTTGTGTAAGTTTTAGAGCGATTCACTCGATATCTCGACTCGATATATATGTCATCATTTATGTGATGAATAAATAAAAATTAACTCTTGTAACTTCTAACCATTCGTACTGAAGCTTATATGAAATGTGGCTGGCAACGTCAGAATTAACTGATAAATTTCGATAACAATTGAACAAATTTATGTATATCTAAATGGTTATTTTAAAAGTGCTATGATAACAAACTAAAATGTTAATCATTCAAGTAGATTCTAATTATTACATACTAAAAATTTGGACTCCAAAAGTATTTGAAAATTTTAGAAACAAACTTGAAGTAACTAGGTGCAGAATTTTTAGTGGCAAGTATATTTTAAATATAACTTGTTATATGACAGACGTTTTACGACGACGACTAAATAGTCGAATTAAAAATATTGTAAATTGATAATTTTTTTTTAATTAACAGATAATTCATGCGTTGCTACACTTTGATATAAATACTTAGATTGCTATATATATATCGTCGAACACATTCGAATTTCAAATCCAAAGCCAGCCTGCCTCTTGTGTCAATGCATATAAATTTATTCTTAATATATGCCGTCATCAACAGCTAGTTTATTTTAGGTTTTATAAATAATTTTATCTCTGTTACACAGACACAGTCTCATGGGAAACGCAGTGGACTTTTTGGAAATACACCCAGAGACTGGAGAAATTTACGTTTTAGCCAACGATTCCTTCAACTACCATAGACAAAACGAGCTCTTTGTACAGGTAAGAGGAAAAAGGATATAATAGAAACATGGATCCAATAAATTATATTACTGATAACTGGGAAGCTGAATACTTCACCTTCTGGCAGCTTCATATAAAATAGTACATATAGTATCTTCACTCATAAAGCGCCTGTGTAAAATTTTTGACTTCTTGTACCAGTAAATGTATTATTTATATCATGCATAGCTTTGACTATGTATAGATAGATAAATCATGTCCAATTGGGGGGAAAAACATGTAAATGGAACTGTTAGTCCCCATTGCTAACTAACTTAGAAATTATGTTTAAAAAATTAGCTACACTGAGCTAACCTGATTTCACACAACACAGGTGACTTGCTATTGTATAACATTAACAAAGGTGGGTCTACTATTCTACTTTAATCCGTTGAAAAAAGAAGCCAGTCAAATTTAGTTCTTCTTCTTTCATATATGCATATGAATGAATTAATAAAAATAAACTTAAAAAAGATATTGTATCTTCCTATATACGCTATGTGGTCCCACCAAAGAACGGGCCACGCCTTTCTTTCCCGTAAGTATCGTAAGAGGCGACCAAATTTAATGGTTAAAAGATAGCCAGCAGCGTCCCTCTTAAAGCATCACCAACGGCTAACTGTGGTTACCAACCTCATGTATGGCAACTACTGACAAAACTCCCTTTATTACGGAGGCCTCTATTCAGCTGTGGGCACTTAACGCCTGATTTAATAGTAATAATATACAGCATATGGTGGAAATGATATATCCCTTTTTAGATCCGCGCAGATGACACTCTCGGCGAGCCGTACAACACGGCCACCTCGCAGTTGGTAATACAGCTGATTGACATCAACAACACGCCGCCCACGCTGCGACTGGTGAGCTTTCTTTCGTTTTTTAATTACAACTCTATATTTATGCTGTAGATTATTTGTAAACAGGTATGTCAGATGCAAATTTAGATTTTTCCCAAACGAGAAGCAGTTGTGTTTGCATGGCTGTGTTTCGGTTTGAAGGGTGGGATATGGCGTGAATTTACTGGGTACAGAGGAATAACACCTAAGTCCTCAGGAATGGCAACGCATGGGGGGTATCATGGGCGAAACAGTATACTCTGTTATGTACATGGTACTGCTCATGTCTATAGGCGACGGTTACCACTTTCCATCATGTGGGCCGTCAGCTTGTTTGCCATTCTAAGTTGTATAAAAAAAACGTAAAATATTTTTTCTCCAAATCGATACGATTTCCAAGATTTTTACCCAATCACAAACTTGTATCGTTTTGCCGAGCGCCACAAAGTAAACGACGAAAAAAGTCATTTGTATTCTACTTTCCTCTCTTTTCTCTTATCCCATCACCTATATTCTCGTCATCTATATTCTACCCACATTTTCTAAAAAATACCCAGGTTTCTCCAAGTCCATTTCACTTTTTTGCAAGAATATCATTATTGATCGAGGAATGGGTAGCTGCATCCCTCTTATAGATTATCAAAGCCAACACGCTTACCAAGCGTCACAAGTACTGGCAAGAGGAAGATCTATGTTCAGCAGTGAACATTTAACGCTTGATATGATGATGATAACTTCTTATACTTGCTTTAGCCACGTGGAAGCCCTCATGTAGAAGAAAACGTACCTGAAGGCTACGAAATCAGTAGTGAGATCCACGCTTCGGACCCTGATACTACAGCGGAGCTCGTGTTCGAGATAGATTGGGAATCCTCTTATGCTACCAAGCAGGGGAGGGAGACTGATCCTGCTGAGTATCATGGGTAAGTTTCAGATTAACACTTGGTCATATTTTTTTCTGTTATGCCAAAGTATGTTCTGGTCAAAACCAGACATAATTTTAAATATTCCTCTCCATCCTAAAGTTGTCTGGAAGTGATCACTATTTAGCGATAAGGCCACCGATTGTTAACTCTTTATCTTGCTTTTATGTAATAAAGTTTATGTAATTCACTTTGTTTGTGTACATATTGTTAATCTTTATAATTTTTATCAACCTTTGAAGGGAACAATAAAGAGTTTTCATTTATTCATTTATAAAAACTAACACGTCCTACAAATCCGTTGTAACTATTAGTGTTTTATCAATTTTGGAATTTAGCGCGAAAGGCAAAGACAAAACACTTCAACAGCTAAAATGGATTTATAAGACGTTCCACGTTTTTATTAATTAAGGGGTTAGGTTATAAAATAAAAAAATATTATGCTCACGACTACAATTTCTAATGGGATGATTACAGTCATTTATCGACTATAGCCTATCGAAATTACTGATTTTTACTACTGACAACCTATACTGATTTGATATTTTTATCGATGTTTCCAATCACCAGAGAATAAGATGGATTTTATAGTGTCAGCCAACTTCGAATTTTCGAAAAATATATATACCACTGATATAGATAGTATAGCACTGAACACGATGCTCGCTAAATTATTAATAATGACATAGATACAATTCATCAGCTAAAATAAGACTAACTGAAATTTGAATCTAATGCCCAATATTTTTTTAACAACTTAAAATACTTAATAATTTGACAGCCTATCCAACGGATAATATTGCCTAGTTGCTATAAGTGATATCACATTTAGTATCACACAGTTTAACACACTTACATAATATTATTTTATTCTTGAAAACCAAGATTTTATGTCTTGCTTTCTAACGGACAATTTTTCAAAAATTATTAAAAATGTATTTATTGGAATCATAAAAAATTACAATTGTAGGGTAGTGTACGATAACAGCCACATTAGTTAAAAATAACTGTGTCGTGGCTGTCAACGCCCACCTCCTCAAGGATGTTGCCTATTTGCTGTGAGTGATATCACATTTAGTATCACACAGCTTAACACATTTAATATCATTTTATTCTTGAAAACCAAGATTTTATGCCTTGCTTTCTAATCTAAACACACAAATGCATATTTACTATTTATCGAAAAAATATTAGCAATGATAATTGTTCAAGTAGACCCCGCAAAACCACCGATAATAAAATATGCATTATAAAACAAAACATTTTGTCCAGTTGTGTGTACATCGAAACATTATACCCCAACGAGGATAACCACGGCGACGCCATAGGACGTGTGGTCGTGAGAGAAATCCGCCATAATGTCACCATCGACTATGAAGAATTCGAAGTCTTATACCTTACTGTAAGGGTTACGGATCTGAACACCATACATGGAGATCCGTATGATGAATGTAAGTTAGAGGTGAAATAAGTGTTTAAGTGACTTCAAAATAATTTAACACCTTTTTTGAAGTCGGTTGAAATAGAGGCAATTCTCAAATCGATTGTATTATTTTTATGTTTGTCACCTCATAACTCCGTCATTTATAAACCTATTTAGAATATTCTTTCTTTATCTGAAAGCATATATGTTCTGATTAGTTTTATAAGTTTTCTTAAAAGTTTTATCAAAATCGGTTTAGTAGTTTAGAGTTTTAAATTAAAACAACTGATTTTGCCACGAGTCGATGTTATTTTTGTGGAAAAAAAAAGTCTTAAATTATTTTCTGTAGTCAAAAATCTTAAATTTTTGTACATATGTATGTTACCTGATATCTTCGCAAACTGTGAACCGATATTAATTTTTTTTTTCTTAATTGAAAAAGAATTACTTTCACTATATTCCTATATAATTAATTTCATCAAAAAAAAATTTTTTTTTGTGAAAACTATCAAATAATAATCGAAACTCTGTATTGCTTCCAGCTACATTCACCATAACTATAATAGACATGAACGACAATGAGCCGCTATGGGTGGACGGGACCCTTTTGAGCAGGTGTTCAGGGTGACGGAGATGGCCCCCAGCGGGACCGTTATTGGTTCGGTACTGGCCACAGATATTGATGGGCCACTCTATAACCAAGTCCGATATACTATACGGTAAGAAGACATGTTTAAATTTCTTTTATTGACACTGTTTTTTTTTTTAACTCTAATCTAATAAAAGCAGTAGGAGATACATTACTACTAATTACAAATACGAAAGTTTCCGAAGATAGATATATAGATAAAATATCGCATAAAAATGGTTTTGAATAGATATTGGAAAACTATGTTATATTATTCTATAGTTATATTATTCTTTTGAACTGGCTATGGAGGAAGCATTGAGACGAGTCGCACGGAGGAATAAAACATTATTTGTATGTGGCGATTTTAATGTTGATTTATTATCGGAATGCTCAATAAGCTTAAGATTGATTAACTTATTTAAATCATTTAATTTGCACAATCTTTTTTAGAACCCACTAGGGTCGCAGGAAATTCTGCCACTTGTATAGATAATGTTTTTTGTAATTGTGAAGTAAAGGTGAAAATGAATTTCGACTGTCTTGGATCTGATCATTACGGACAAAAAGTTATAATTGAAACTAAGGGATCCAAAGGGACTCAAACAATTACATGCAGACAAATAACACAAAAGAATTTGGCACGTTTTAAAAATAAAATTGAACATAAAATATCTAGTGTCATAGTACCTCAATATGACCCGGACATTGTATGTGAACATATTTTTAATTTAATTGAACATGAAGCTAGCAGTGAATTTAAAACAAAAACCATTTTCAACTAGTGTAAAATCAAAGTTTTGTGACTGGGCCACGTTTGGTATTTATAAGTCTAGGGCTAATCTTTACGAACTTTACGAAAAACGAAGCTATATATCCGATCCCTTATTTCATGAACATGTAAAATCTTATTCGAAAATATTTAAAAAGGTTTGTCATACAGCTAAGTCTCTCTATTTAGGTAAAATAATAACTAAATCTAAAGATAAAATAAAAGCCACTTGGAAAGTAATAAATAGCGAAACTGGAAAAGTTAATTTTCAAAATAGCAAAATAGCTTTAAATATTAATAACAAATTGGTAAATTCCGACACAGAGGTCGCGCATACATTCGAATCTTATTTTACTAATATTCCATTAATTACGACACAGGCTCTAAAATCTTCCCCGTCTGCTGCTGAAACTTTACTAACAGACAATGTTAGCAAGTCATCAGCTGTATTTAACTTTAGACATACATCATCAGTAGAAATAATGAAAATATTCAAACAACTTAATAATAAAAAAACAGAGGATCTATGGGGTATATCTGTTAAAATACTGGATAGTATAATGGAAATTATTGCGCCCTCTCTTGCTTTTATTTTCAATAAATGTATAGATTTAAGGTAAATTTCCTAACATAATGAAAATTAGTAAAATCATACCGCTTTTTAAATCTGGAGATAGAGTGACCCAATAAATTATAGACCTATATCCATACTCCCAGCACTCAGTAAAATTTTTGAAAAAATAATCCTTATGCAACTTGTCAGTTATTTCAATTTAAATAATTTAATCCACAATAGTCAATTCGGTTTTTCCAAAGGTCGTTCAACTACAGACGCAGGTGCAGAGTTGCTTAGACACGTATTTGCTGCATGGGAAACTAAAATGGATGTGATAGGTGTTTTTTGTGACCTTTCTAAGGCTTTTGATTGCGTTGATCATAATACATTGCTAAAAAAACTTGCTTTTTATGGCGTCAAAGACAATGCTTTAAATTTAATAAAATCTTATCTATCTGATAGAATACAGAAATTGAAGATTAGCAACGCTACGCCTGACGGGTCACTTGTGCAAATGGGTGTACCTCAAGGATCTATTCTCGGTCCATTTTTATTCCTAGTTTACATTAATGATCTCCCATATGCCATGCAGGATAGATGCGGCATAGTATTGTTTGCAGACGATACTTCATTGATTTTTAAAGTTAATAGAATGACTAATAATTATGACGATGTAAATAGTGCTTTGCGGCGTCTCCTGCACTGGTTTACAACTAACAATCTTATGTTAAACGCTAAAAAACAAAATGTGTTAATTTCTCTCTAGCTAAAAGTTTTAATACTAATTGCAATATTAAATTAAATGACGAATCTCTCGAATTTATAGACTCTACTGTCTTTCTAGGAATCACACTAGATAATAAAACACAATGGGGTGCACAAATTCAAAGCCTTGCAGCGAAACTAAGTTCAGCAGCTTTTGCCGTGCGTAAAGTTAGACAGTACACTGATACTGATACTGCTAGATTAGTCTATTTTAGTTATTTTCATAGTTTACTCTCTTATGGAATATTACTATGGGGAAAAGCGGCAGATATTAAGAATATATTCATATTACAAAAACGTGCCGTTCGAGCGATCTACTGTATGAAGAGTCGTGACTCATTAAGAGAGAAATTCAAAGAGGCAAATATTCCACCGTTGCTTCTCAATTTATATATTCAAATATTCTATATGTTCATAAAAATCTTGACTTATTTCCAAAAAACAGCAATATTCATAATATTAATACTAGATTTAAAGACAAACTTGCTGTCCCCAAGTATCGTTTAGAAAAGTTAATAGGTCTTTTATGGGAATAGGTATAAAAATTTACAATAAGATACCAAAGGATATGTTGGAATTACCCTTAAATAAATTCAAAACATCTGTTAAATCATATTTACTGAGCAAAGCCTATTACTCACTAAACGATTACTTGAATGACGAGTGTGCATGGCAATAGTTGTTCATGCACTGAATTTTCATTTAATGTTAGACATAGACACCTATATAAATATACATTGTAAATAAACTGGCTTTTAAAAAAAGTAATTCAATTGAGTTTCTTGCCAGTTCTTCTCAGTTGGATCTATATACCGAACTGGACGGTAGGGAAAAAAATAAAATTATAATGTAAAAATTTGACGTTCATAAGCGGCTAAAATGTCCTACATGAATAAATGATTTTTGAATTTGAATTTGAATTTGAATTTGAATATGTATATGATATGGTAAAATTTCTTAGAACATGGAATAATTTATATGATGATTCACACGGGCAAAGCTGTAGGATATAGCTATAGTAACGGTATCTTCTTATAGTGCTCGAGACAACACTCCAGAAGACCTTGTGAAGATCAACTTTTACACGGGACAGCTCCAGGTGGACGCGAACGAAGCGATCGACGCAGACACCCCGCCACGGTACGAGCTGTACTACACGGTCACGGCCAGCGACGGGTGCTACGCGGAGAACAGAACCGAGTGCCCACCCGACGACACCGAGTGGAACACAGACGGAGACGTGAGAAATCTCATTTTCAAAAATCTTTTAATAAGAATACCAGTCAAGCTTATGTGTCAGTAGGGTTACTTTATCAAACACTTGCAACACCAGAGTAATTTCACTGCCCAGAATTCATGCTTTAAACCGGAACACGACAATCTTGACTCACAGCTTACCTAGTAGATTGCTTTGTTATGCCTCCCAACCGAAACACAGTATGCTAGCTGGCTGCTTACCAACTGAATTATAGGTGGACTACAACAAAGTTAAACGAATAATAACGAAGAACGGATGCGAGTCCTTGGATCGACTGTTTCCTTACCAGAGACTTGTAACTTTCTAGCTATTTGGAATAATGTAGTTTGGTTGGCCTAACCACATTCTCACCTATCCCTCAATCACGAAACTAAGTGCGTAAATTCCTGGATAAACAAACTAACTAACAACAAAGTACATAAATCATTGACGCTAGAATCTAAAACATGTATGTCTGGTTCAGATCACGATTCAAATTACGGATACGAACAACAAGTGGCCACAGCCGGAGATCTCCAAGTTTAACACCACTGTATGGATATACGAGAACGCGACCCACGGTGACGAAGTCGTCCAGATAGTGTCCAGTGATCTTGACAGAGATGGTGCGTAAATACAAATATCTTTGCTGCCTTATTATATACTTCCTTTCTAATAACATTATAAATTTAGAAAAGGTTTTCTTCCCTCTTGACGGCTTAACAAAACAACAAAATGTTATGAAAATTTAGTATTATACACTATAATATTTTTTAAGAGGTCGATGGTTATGAAATAAAACTCGTGTCATTATAGGGCAATCCAACTCATGTATTAACAGTTCCACAACTTTGCAATTAAAATACATTTGTATTAAAGCGACTTACCAAATTATACGTCTTTACTGATCAATGTTCAATCCACAACTGTTCACTGTTGGACGTTACTTCTAGTTTTTATGCCGATTATTTTGGCGGGTAAATAATTCTTCCGGAAATGACAAATCACCATTTTGTAGTTAAATCAAATCAGCAACAGTGGCACTTGGCAACAGTTATGATGCAAATATAATAAAATATTGGTATACTAAATGTAAAGATGCTAACAATTTGAGTGAAAGAAAGACGTAGGCTATTATTTATTTAGGGTATACAACTGTGACCGGATAGGTCACGAGAGTGAAGCTATTATGTAAATTCAACATTTTGCTGTTTCTTGGAGTGCTTGCTTTAATGTATGATCATTATGAAGTCAATAAGCAATTGAAAACCAATCTTTCAACAAAAGTCGCATGGTCGAACATTGGACACTTAAGAAATATTCCTTATCTTATTGAAGTTAGCAACGATAGATGCACGAATCACTAACATACAAATCTTTCCTCAATATGGAGGCATCATACACTAAAAATCGTCTATGTGGTCCCAGTATAGAATAGGCCGCCTCTTCCTTTTCCGTTGGTGTCATAACAGGCGACTCAGGGAATGATCGAGAGATGGACAGCAGCGCTCCACATAAAACGTTACTAAAAATCTAACTGCGGTTGCCAAACCGCCTAAGAAACATGGCAGCTACTGGCAAAGCTGCCCAAATGGGGGAAGCCTACGTTCAGCAGCAGGACAATAATGGCTGATATGATATATTAACGAAGTTGTTTAATCTCCAGAGCTATATCACACGGTGAGCTATCAAATCAATTACCAAGTGAACCCTCGTCTTCGCGACTTCTTCTCCGTGGACCTGGAGACGGGCCTTGTGTACGTGGACTACACCACTGACGAAGTCCTCGACAGGGACGGTGACGAGCCCAGGCACACCATCTTCTTGACTCTCACTGATAACTTCTTATCTGGCGGAGGTAACTCTATACATTGATTTATACAGCCGAGCAACTCACCTCACAAATCAAAAGATCCCATGTAAACATGCTGTGTACCTGATTATAGACCATATCAGTTCTGAAATTGGATTACTATTTTTTTTAATGGATGATAATGGAATGGTAACCCCACCCGTGTTATAGGTATACACCGGCGGGGCACTAGTGAAGGATGATAGGTGAGGATGAAGTAGGTCAGTTAGCCCATCGTGACGAATTCAATAAGAATTGTTCACGATGGTTTCCAGGGGGAACCACGTGGAGGTCGACCTAATAAGGCATATTGCTAGCAATGGAGCTGTCAAACTCCATTGCTAACAATCCCTTTCCCCCCAGAAAGTAAGTATTAGGTATTTGTAAGATGTGGGGGTTGTACCCAAGTTGGCGTACAAAATTAATGAATAAAATAAAAGTGGCCACCTACTGATCAATAACATCAAGAGTATATTCTTAGCAGTAGGTTCTCATACCCATAATGCCGATTGCTAACATACTATTATATATCTACATCCCTTTTTACATGGTTTACAGACGGCAGGAGGAATCAAAACGAAACCGAAGTACTGGTAATCCTTCTAGACGTGAACGATAACGCCCCAGAATTACCGCACGGCCTCTTTTGGTCTGTCTCTGAGAGTCTTCTAGAGGTATGACGCCGATTTTCTATTTTATATTTCCGTGCCTATTTGACTGGAAATGGTAACCGACTAGTATATGTAGTTACGTGAGTAAAGGAAATGTTGTATAACATCCCAAAATCTACATATTACCATAAATTACCAATACTATCATGATACCAAGAGCAGGCACGTTTTTGCAAACTGTTGAATAATTGCAGGCAACACTTGGATATTGTTTTCGGTATGGAAAGATATTTATGTAGGAAAGCTGTAATGCTTTAATTAAACAGCAAAAGTTTATGTAAAGTAATTATTTATTGAATTTAAAAACAATACCTATGTTAAATGCCTCAAGAGTAAGTACATTATTGTTTATTTGTTAATAAGCAATTTTTTATACAACTTACAATGGCAAACAAGCTTTACGGCCTATAGACATGAGCAGTACCATGGACATAACAGAGTATGCTGTTTCGCCCATGATACTGTCCATGTGTTATGCATACTGTGTTTCCCTTAAAAAGAAAACGCTATGTATAATTAGATAGAAAACTTAATATTAAATTTTATCACTTTAACAATTGCTGGGAGACCAAATAAAGATAAAATAAAAATAAGATTATAAGTAAATAAGTCATAGCAATAGATTATTACTTCGCCTTGCCACACAATGCATTTCAATAATTGAATATTCAGGGCGAACTACTCGAAGGAGTCATCACGGCCCCGGACAGGGACGAGCCGGACACGGACAACTCCCGCGTCGGGTACACAATCCACAACTTGACCGTCACCGACCGGCCCGGCCTCGAGCACCCGGACCTCTTCGGCATGCTACAGCTATTCAACGTCAGCGGGCAACTCTACACTGCCGTGGACTTGAAGGGCTACTGGGGCACGTATGCTATACATATTGGAGTGAGTTCTAATTTGAACTAAACACAGATATACCTTTATATATATAACAGTGAATCACGAACGCAGTACTTTATTATTGGGCCTATCCCAATTCACTGTTCATCCCGAAGGCTGACTGGTAGAGAATGCTACTAGCATTATGTCTACCTTTTGTACCATATTTTCTTTTGATCAATAAAGTTATGTCAATAAATAAATATGGCAGGATACCAGTACCACCGACAAGAGCGCAGCTCTTAAATAGGATAGATAGACCAGTTTAAAAAGTTTTATGAGGGTGAAGTCAGATCAGTTAGCCCACTGTTACTAATTCAATTCATCAGGAATTAACCACCGTCGTTTCCAGGAAGAATCACACGTATTTTATATATTTATTTCTTATTGCATTCCATAATGTAATTAGTAGATAACATTTCAACTTTAATTATGGACCCTGTTGGGCACAGCAAGTAGGGGAGGCGTATTGTGTAGGTAGCATTAATAATGACACCATTTATCCAGTACTCTAGCTAGGACCCTGTCTTATAAGATGCCAATCACAACCTAAAATACCCAGACTCAAGACAATTCAGAAAATCTCATTTCCCATATTGTCTCGCCCGGAATTTGAAGCCGGGACTTCATTTACGCAGATCTACGTATAACAATAACTCGTTATGGGAGAAAACGGTGTCCAGCAGAAAGATATAAATAGGTTGCTAAGGTCTAGGTCCCGGCATAAAGTGGGTCACCCCTTTTTTTCCCATGGGTGTCGTAAGAGGTCACTAAGGGAACATAATAATCGAGGGATGAACAGTATTTTTACTACTGACAACTACTGGAAAAACCTCCCAATAGTAATAGCCTATGATCAACAGTAGACAGTTCATGACTGATCTAGATGGATAAGACCAAAGCAACTGTTCATAGGCCTTCGACCATGGCGTGCCCCAATTGTTCGACGATGAAATATACGAGATAGAGATCCGGCCGTACAACTACCGCGCACCAGAGTTCGTGTTCCCCGCGGACGGCACCACCGTACGTCTTGCGAGGGTGAGTACCGCCAAAGTTCTTATTTTGCTTAGGTGTTTTTTTATTGATAGTCTTTTATTTTAACCGACTTTAAAAAAGGAGGAGGTTCACAACTTGGATGATGTTTTTTTCATTACTGTTACCTCATCACTGCATCATTTACAAACCAATTCGGAACTTTTTTTATTTAAAAATGTATACTTTCAGATTGGTACCATCAAAATTTCATTAAAATTTGTTTAGTAGTTACGTTTCTAAATAAAAATACTTTTTATAATACGTTACTGCACTGCGTTAATAGGAGAGAGCTACAACGAACGGCTTGCTGGCGCTGGTGAACGGAGAATTCCTGGATCAAGTGTCAGCAACGGACGAGGACGGACTACACGCGGGCCTAGTCACCTTCGACATATCTGGTGATGGTAAGGAAACACACGCGTTTGCTAATCCGTCCCCAATGCGAATTGGATTAGATATAGCTTTGAATGGCAAACGTACAGACGGTCCACCGCATGGAAAATGGTGACCATCCTCTATAAATATGAACAGCACCCATAAACATTTTTTAGAAAGAGTGTGAAAGTGAAGTGGGGGGGGGGGGCAGTAATAAGCTATCTTTGCGCATAGCTATAAGCTTCACACTCCTGATGGGGTGAGCACTAGACAACTCTCGGGTGGGTGTAACCCAATTAATTTTATTTCAAGTGTAATAGTAATAATATTAAATAATAGAGAATAGAAAAGGCAAAATGCTGGGCCACCTTATACGACATGACGATTTTTTAAGAGCATTGTAGAAGGCAAAATATAGGGCAAAATAGGAAGAGGAAGACCGAGGAATAACTACATGGGACAGATAAAGGAAACACTAGGTGTCATGTCATATAGGGAGATCAAGGATATGGCCTGGGATAGAGCTGGCTGGAAGAAGACGCATGAATTAGTTGCACAGACAAGAGGAAACTCTTAAATTAAAAAAAAAAGTAATAATATTAATTCTGCAAATTTTTGTACTTATAATAAATAACGTTTTGTACTCAAAACATCAAATAAATATATGAAATATTTTTTCACGAATACTTTAACGGCTTTTATAATTTTTAATTAGAATTTTATTAAGGACATTGACAAGAAACAAAAACCTTTACATTTTTTTTTTCATAGTGCAATATATTTAAAATGAATTGGCTGTAAATAGTAGATAAAATTAATTAGCTAAAATTTTATAATAATAGCTTTAAATTAATACTATAGTATCTGGTAACACTGGTAGCTTGCATTTTTGTCGTACACGCCGTCGCTTCTGCGACTGCTATGAACTGTAATAGAATAATATACATAAACTCTGCAAAGGTGGCGACACTGTGCTACAACGTATACAATAGCAAATAGTCATTGGAGGTCTACTGACAAAAAAATAGCATAAAAATATTTCTCAATGGCGGTTTTTTTTCATAACTTACATTTACATTATATATACATATGATATATTATTTATTGTACACAAACATAATATTAAGAACAATTAATTTTAAACGTAATGTACATAGGCGAGCCTATCTCTAATAAGAGATTTCTTCCAGCAAACCTTCTCAAGTGAATTGAATTGTTATTTAAAAATAAAAATAGTCATACGATTTGTGTACCTTTTTTTATTAATTTTTTTTATACATCTTAGAATGGCAAACAAGCTGACAGCCCACCTGATGGAACGTGGTGACTGTCGCTTACAGACATGAGCAGTACCATGAACATAACACAGTGTACTGTTTCGCCCATGATACCCCCCATGCGTTGCCATTCCTGAGGACTCAGGTGTTATTCCTCTGTACCCAGTAAATTCACGCCAATCCCACCCTTCAAACCGAAACACAGCCATGCAAACACAACTGAGAGGGAGGTACCAGAGGGAGACTTTGTACAAAAGTCGTTTGCTTAGGTACCTCTATCCCATTCGTGTTTCAACCGTAAAGCAGTTGTGTTTGCATGGTTGTGTTTCGGTTTATAGGGTGGGATTTGGCGTGAATTTACAGGGTACAGAGGAATAACACCCGAGTCCTCAGGAATAGCAACGCATGGGGAGTATCATAGGCAAAACAGTATACTCTGTTATGTCCATGGCACTGCTCATGTCTATAGGCGACGGTTACCACTTTCCATCTGGTGGGCCGTCAGCTTGTTTGCCATTCTAAGTAGTATAGAAAAAAACGTATGATTTCATTGTTGTTCATAGCTGAAGCAAGTCAATTCTTCGAAGTTTCGAACAACGGCGAAAACCTTGGAACACTAATGCTTCGAGAACTTTTCCCTGAGGACATAAGAGAATTCACGGTATGTGATATTAATTCTAATCATAAGTTGACACTCTTTTCCTTAAGGGAGGCAGAGGATTTCTTTGTTGAAAATACCGTCAAAAAGAAATGATGGAATTGGGATTACTAACAGTAATGGGGTCTAACTGCCCCCTTGCTGATTTAGAACCGTATTACTAGTAATATACACTATCAGGTCGACCTCCTTGCCGTTCCCCCTGGAAACCATCGTGATATATTCATTAGTGAATTTATCACGATAGGCTAACTGACCTGCCTTTTCATTCTCACCTATCATCCCTCACTGATGCCCCGCCAGCATATATCGTTAGCGCAGGCGTGGTTAAAAAAAAAAACCTCATTTAGTCCTTTAAGCGTACACAAATAGACTTGCTATGAATGTCCATACACCGTCAAGTTCAGTGGATGCCAAATTTAATGGTATACGGCCACCATAAGTGTAAATACCTAATTAAACTTTTATATAATATATTGAACTAAATTAGGTGACAATCCGCGCCACTGACGGTGGCACCGAGCCGGGTCCACTCTCGTCCACCTCCACTCTCAACATAATCTTCGTGCCCACACAGGGAGACCCTGTATTCAATACAAACACTGCTAATATCGCTTTCTTTGGTAAGTGACACTGTATTATTGTCATAAATATAATTAAGATTGACTTCCACGATAAAAACCGATTTTAGTTGTGGCAAAACTAATTATTTTTCTTCAAAACTAAATAACTAAACTAATTATGAAAAAAATCTGTGGAACTAATCTGTCAGTATATCGTTTCAGATAAAAAAAAGATTTTTTCAAGTCGGATCATAATTGACGGAGTTGTGAAGTAACAAATATAAACATTCAAATACCTCACATTCAATGACTTGTTTGTCTCTCTCATTCGTGCTGCAGTTCACAACCGACCGACTTCTCAGCCTGAAGCCATTATAGGACATTTTTTTTTATGGGTGAAAATGATATAGTAACCCCGCCTGCGCTAACGGGATACGCTGGCGGAGCACCAGTAAAGGGTGATAGATGAGAATGAAAACAGGCCAGTTAGCCCATCATGATGAATTCATCAGGAATTAACCATGATAGTTTCCAGGGAGAACCGCGAGGAGGTCGACCTGGTTGGGTATATTGCTAGCAATAGGATTCTCAGTCTCCATTACTAACAATCCTTTTCCCCCCATTATAGGACATTAGGTAAAGACGGGGACAGTCAGCCAGGAATGAGCGTTGATGAGCAAATAGTCTGTTGATGGGCAACATATATATACTATTCTGAAAATGTGTTCTTAATAATGTATAGACTGGGCAAACGTGGATAAAATATCGCGTAATACTCATGTCTTTTTATTGTTATAGAAAAAGAACAAGGTCTGATAGAATCATTCCAGTTGCCGCTCGCTGAAGACCCCAAAAACTATAAGTGCGACAACGACTGCCACAATATATACTACACGATTGCAGGTGAATAAAGCGACTACCTTCGTTGTTGTTTTATATATTTTGCTATTTTTTTTTTTTTTTGTTTTTCATTCTTTTATCTCTTTTTACTGTGTATGCCTGTATTATGTGTATATTTGTATTGTTATTTGTGTGCTGTCTTCTTTTCATTTAAGAGTTTCCTCTTGTCGGTGCAACTAATTCATGCATCTTCCTCCAGCCAGCTCTATCCTAGGCCATATCCTTTATCTCCCTATACGATATGACGCCTAGTATTTCCTTTATCTGTCCTATTGTGTGCTGTAAGTAATGCAAATAAATTATCTATCTATCTACCTCATAAAATGAGAAAAGCTAAAGTGGAGTTCAGTATTCGAATCTATATACCTGAAAGTACACCCACCTCATTCATTCATTCATATCAGCCTTTAACTGTTCACTGCTGAACGTAAACCTCTCCATAGGGGGTTTTGCCAGTATTTGCCACGCTTGACAGGCGAATTGGCAATCGCAGTTGGAGATGTTTTAAGAGGGACGCAGCTGCCCAACACTCGCCCTCCCTTAGTCGCCTCTTACGACACCCATAGAAAAAGAAAGGCCTGTTCTATACCGGGTCCACCGGGCAATCATCTTAATCGGAGGCTAATTCTCTGTAATCAAACAATTCGTAAAAAATAACAAATTATAAAAAAGTGATATCAGATGATTTTAGTTTCTAAATCATTCTGCAGAGCCAATATCAACATTCGCTTGCTGGCGATATATCCCAATAGGAGGAGCCCTATATTTGGCAGTGGCCAGTTAATGGCTGATATAATAAATTTCATAATTAAAGCATCTATATTTTATTTATTTTTTTAAGGGAAACTTATAGCTATAATAACTTAATAATTATTTATATAAAACAACAGTAAGCCAATTAAAAGCTTCCACATATAATTAACGAAAATTTATTATAGGTACCTATATTTTATATAATAGATGGATAATAAACTTGTTTGTATCTCCATCAGAAATAATAACAAAAATAAATATACACAACAAAATAAAACACAACACAACAATAAAAATGGAAAACGTACACTGCACATGTATTATTAACAACAAAAATAAATATACACAACAAAATAAAACATAACACAACAATAAAAATTGAAAACGTACACTGCACATGTATTAATAACAACAAAACTAAATGTACACAACAAAATAAAACATAACACAACAATAAAAATTGAAAACGTACACTGCACATGTATTGTAAACAACAAAAATAAATATACACAACAAAATAAAACATAACGATTAACATGTCGATTACTATTGACACCGTCGGTTCGCACCTGTACTGCTCAGTTTGCTCTCACTTATCAGGCTATTTCTCTGCTCAATTCTCTGATTGCTCAGCAGCCAGATATTGATATATTTAATGACAAATTAGATATATTTTCTAAATATTGTTTAAAAATTTTAAGTTTGTAAAATAAACCTATGACTCACAACACGTTTTGGGATACTGTAAGTGTGGTGAGTAATTTATAAATAAATAAATAACACAACAACAAAAATTAAAAATGTACACTGCATATGTATTTTCTCTATTGTATTTTAACTTTCGAGTACCTAAATGATAAAATTGTATAAGAACCGGACTGTAAATGACAATAAATATGGACTAACTTAATTAGCCACTTACTGATTACTACGATACAGGCCTGCGAGCCTAGTGTAGTAATCACTGTTTGATAAATTGTGTACCCGCACTTTAGTTAAAGTTTTTATTATTATTATTCTATTCAGATGGCTACGACGAGGGTTACTTCAGCGTGGACCCGCTGCAGAACATAATATATTTGAAACGCGAACTGGACAGGAACGAGACCGCTACACACACCCTCGTAGTCGTCGCCAGCAATTCCATGAGTCCGGGCCCATCGCTCGCCAGCTCTATGTTAACAGTCACTGTTACCGTAAGTTTTACAATCGAGTACCTCATATACCTATTAGTTTTTACCTGCGACTTCGTCTGAATGATTTGTCCATCCCAAATAGTATGTGTATACCAAATTTCGAATTTATTGGTTAAGCCATTAAAGCATAATGAAGTAACAAACAAACTTTCACATTTATAAAATTAGCACAATATTTATTTATTTATCGCAAAGCAACAGATTATAAATTAATACATTAGTAAAATTAATATTACATTAAACAGCATCAAATTTGCACTCCAATAACTGCTCTGCATAACATTCGATATCATAAACCTTAAAAGAATAGCGACGATAGATTTAAAGTAACAAATTGGCAGCCTTAATATAACATTGCAAGGATTATTGGAAAATATAATAATAATATAAAATATAGTACTAAAGTACAGCATAGACACTGCCTGCCGCCCGCTGCGGCTTGACCTCACCCCCTCTCAAACGCGTCAACACCCAAACTCTATTTTCCCGCGCTAATCGTAACTACACGTTACATTGTCACATGTACAGACGTGACTTTTTTCTGTAGTTGTGACAAGCACGAATCGTGGCGTTTTTAGTGAAATGTCCGAGATGTGGTATTATTGAGGATTTTATTGTTACTTGATACTTTCCAGGTAAGAGAAGCCAACCCTCGTCCCAATTTCGTGAGCGACCACTACAGTGCAGGCATATCGACGTTGGACACGATCAACAAAGAACTCCTCACCGTAGAAGTAATTCTAATTATTAACTTGCCCCTTATTGTAAATAATAATTAGAACTAATAACCCTTTCAGACCTGAACGACACGGGCGTGAATTGTAACTTTAAAAAATTCTAAAACTGCGCGCCATTCATTTTTACGCACGAAGCTGAAATAACATGATAATGAGATTCTAAACCAGCCAATAAGAAATCATTTTAGCGGTTAGGTGGTGCAGTAGTCTCGTGCGTGCCGGCAAGATGGCTTGGCTCCAAAACACGAAAATATATTTAATCTGAAAGAAAAAAATCTTGGGTCTGAAAGGGATATCCCGAGTTCAGTATTGACGTATATTTCAACTTTTTTTATACCACAAAGGTAGCTAACATGCATACAGCTTACAGCTGATGGTAATCGGTCTATAAACTAGACTATGGACGCTTGTAAAACTAGGGGTGTCACGTGCACGTTACCGACCTTGAAAAAACCTTAATATACCCTTTTTTAAGAACCCCATACTGTAGTTTCTAGGAAAAACCCTGGCAGGGTGCTTATTTCACAGTTTGAGCGTTCGGGAAGAAATTTCTCTGAAACCACACTGTATGTGACCATTTAGGTTCAAGCGTGTGAGGAAAAATTCCCTGTCGATGGCGAGCAGTGTGATGATAAAAGAGAGCTATAGGCATCATAAGATTAAAAAAAATTGTAACCGACAATCTAATATAAACACTGCAGTTCAACATCATTGTCACTTAGAACTTGATTAGAATTATTTTCCTTAATTCTGCTACCATTAGTATGTATGTGACTGCCAACATTCAAAGATTGACCACCACTGTTGCTATCAGAAGTCCCACAACCTTCCATAAGGTCATCAATCTCCAACTACCATTTTTCACGCACGTTTTGCGACACGTGCTTCATCTCTAAACGAGGCATCTTTAGGCAAATTAATAGATTGCTGAGCGATGGAAATATAGCTGGCTTATAAAAAAGGTTGTAAAACTTCTTGTAGTAGTGGTAATCATTGTTTATCGTATATAATCTATAACTATGTAGGTATATTTATATATGTATATTTATATTTGTATGTATGTATTTTTATTACATATTTGTATATTTATGTAATATTTGTTTAATGTATTCATGTATGTATATTTATATAATAATAATATGCATTAGTTCTCTATTTTTTTTAATGGGTGATAATGGGATGGTATACACCGGCGGGGCACCAGTGAGCGATGATAGGTGACGATGATAGCAGGTCAGTTTGCCCATTGTGACGAATTCAACAAGAATTGTTCACGATAGTTTCCAGGGGGAACCACGTGGAGATCGACCTGATAGGATGTATTGCTTGCAATGGGTCAGTTAGACCCCATTACTAACAATCCCTTTCCCCTCAAGTAGTTCTCTATTGTATGTGTTGTAATTTTTTTCACTGTATAATAAAATTTCTGTTTTACCAAAAGTTGACTGGGAGAGAATGCTATATAATATTAAGTCCGCCTATTGTACCAGACATTTTTTTGTAATGTGGTCAATAAAGAATAAATAAATAAAAAATAATCAATCTTTGAGTATTGGCAGTCGCACAATATTAATTTTAGCGGAATTAAACAACATATTTCTAATCGATCAACCAATGATATAAATTTCCACAAAAAAACACGTAGTTCAGTTAAAAAATTGCCCTTGAATAAAATATTTCACATAAAAGTTCCATCTCTTGACTACATGACATCGTATTCAGGCGACCCACTCCGAAGCTGATGCTGTGATTATGTACGCGATCAACTATACATCGATGGTGGTTGACCCGTCCTTGGAAGCGGTGAAAGAAACCGCGTTCGCTCTGGACCCCAACAGTGGAGTCCTCACACTCACTATGCAACCAACAGTTTCCATGCACGGCATGTTTGAATTCAACGTCATCGCCAATGATACTGGTAATTATTCTGATTATAATCTCGTTTTCTCTCTTTAGAGACAGACAGGCGTTTTTTACAATGAAGTAGAACGAGGACGGGAATTTAAAACCTTCTAACTTTTCAATAAATCTTGATTCGCAACAGTACCTTCTTTTCTCACTGAAACTGGTCATTGACCATAAAAAAAATTGGTGATTGTACCGTACAAATACATATAAATTTCTAGATTTTACATCTTATTTCTTTGTTTCAAAGGTTAATAAAATTCGAATTAAAACCAATATTCAAATGTAAATTGCGTTTGAAACTATGTTACCATTATAGTTGTCACAATATGTTTCTAGATGGCGCCCAGGACACGGCAGCAGTGAATATATACTTGATATCGTCACTCAATCGTGTGTTCTTCATATTCTGGAACACATTTGAAACTGTTGAAAAGAACAGACGCTTTGTAAGTATACGATTCACATATGACAAAGAAAAAAAAACACATTTTAATATTAAAAATATATTGTTGTTGCATCAGCCATTAACTGTCTATTGAACATAGCTTCTCCTATAAGTGGGGTTCTGCCAGTAATTACCACGCTTGGCTGACGGGTTTTTCTTTTTTTTAATGGATGATAATGGAATGGTAACCCTACCCGCGCTATCGGTATACACCGGCGGGGCACCAGTGAAGGATGATAGGTGAGGAGATGAAGTAGGTCAGTTAGCCCATCGTGACGAATTCAACAAGAATTGTTCACGATGGTTTCCAGGGGGACCCACGTGGAGGTCGACCTAATAAGGGCATATTGCTAGCAATGGAGCTGTCAAACTCCATTACTAACAATCCCTTTCCCCCCTGGCTGACGGGTTGACAACCGCAGTCTCGCTGTTGGTGATGTTTTAAGATGAACGCTGCTATCCATCCCTCCACTATAAGCTCCCTTAGTCGGGAAAGGAAGGAGTGACCTATTCAATACCGATACCTACACGGCTAAAAAATATATAATTTACGATAAACATTTGGTTTACTAACGGCGACCAAGATTTGACGGAGATACCTTTAACTACATTTTAATCTAAATTTCATCAAAAATTCAAAAAAGGGGAAGTCTAAGAAGATCTGTCAAAAACAATTACCTAATCTTTCTGTAAAAAATTAATCACAAAATTAACTAAGTACATTGTGAACACACATAAAGCAATACAAATAGTTCTTAGAAAGAAAAACTAGAATGAAGACTTTCGTTGTGTGTTTCTGTGTTGGAGTAGAGGAGTGTCAGTAAATTTATTGGCAGATCGCGCAAACGTTCAGTGCTGGGTTCTCGATGACATGCAACATCGACCAAGTGGTGCCGGCGAGCGACTCGAGCGGCGTCATGCTTGAGGACGTGACCGAGGTGCGCGCGCACTTCATACGCGACAACGAGCCCGTACTGGCTGACGAAATCGAAGAGTGAGTAGTCTTCAATAATAACAACGCATGAAAAATACCATGGTTTTTTTAATGGATGAAGATGGAATGGTTCACTCGTCTATGGTAACAGTATACAATGACGGACAACCAGTGAGGGATAATTGGTGAGAATTAAGCAGGTCATTTGGCCCATCGTGAAACATTTTTAACATTAACCACGATGATTTCCAGAGGAACAGCGGGGAGTTCGTCCTGATATTGCTAGCAATTTATTTTATTTATATGTTTATTGGCAGTTATTACTAACAATTTCTATCCCTCAGTACCGTATTTTAAAGACCATAGTATGAGGTTCTTCAAAAAAGGTATATTAACATTTCTTCAGGGTTAGCAACATGCACATGTCATCTCTAGAGCAGCTAGCATTCATAAGCTACTGGAATTGTTTACCGTGAGATCATCTGTATTTCCATTTTTGTAGTATAAAATAAATTAGCTAGTAACAATAGCAGTAGCTGCTCTTTATATTTTGTGAAGTGCCTGTATGTATACCCGCCATCTTTTCATTAAACAGCAATTTTAATATCTAAACATAATATTCTAACTTCAATGTTTACATTCCAGACTCCGCAGTGACACACTACTGCTACGCTCCATCCAAATGACCCTGAACACCGAGCTGCTGGTACTACAGGACTTCGTGACCGAGAACAGCCCCAACCCCGGCATAGACTCCAGCCTTACTATCATATATGTGCTGGCCGCGCTCGCCGGGTTGCTCGCCTTCATGTGTTTGCTGTTGCTTCTTACGTTCGTCATTAGGACGAAAGCGTAAGTCATTATCGTTACAACCAATTAACGTTCCACTGCTAGACATGGGTTCTTTTAAACTATGTTCATAAAATCATTTCGCCTAACTTTAACGTACAATCAAAACACTAAGTTTAGAAAGCTGAAATTTAGAACATAAATTTATTTTATAACGTTAGTGAATGCTAATAAAAGATTTTAAAAAATTGCAACCTAAAAAGGAAACAAGATACCCCGCGTGCAAAGCCTCAGTCTAGTCTTTCTATAAGTGTCAATTAACGATTTTTATCAACAAGGACTCCTAAATACCCTTTTATTTTAGCAGAATTTTAAAAGGTTTAAAAAAATCTGATATTTTCTAAATATTTATTATGTAACGGAAACTAACATTAATTTTGTTTCCATATATGTCGTCATATTAATGTAATTTTGTATATAGCAATAATGTACAGTAGCGCTCTGCTATGTAAACCTTTTCTTATAACGATAGTCGCTCACAATCTCGCAATAAAGTAAATTACTAATTTCACTCCACGCCGCGCTCTTTACATTATTACTATGCCAACTATTCTCAGCAACATAAATCGAGCATTCTCAAACACTAAGATTTTTTGTAATTTCAGTCTAAACCGCCAACTGCAAGCACTATCAATGACCAAGTATGGGTCTGTAGACTCTGGACTGAACCGAGCCGGCATCGCACCCGGCACTAACAAGCACGCCGCTGAGGGCTCCAATCCTATATGGAACGAGTCCATCAAGGCACCAGACTTCGACACTTTGAGGTAATCGTACAATACTCCATCGTTTAGAATTGTCTTATAGTGAGAGGGAGAAGATTGTAATGGTATCTAGTAACCTTTTTGCTAAATCTGACATGGAATGAGATCATTAAGACTAACTAATGAGATCATTAACACTTCTACACCAAGAGACATTCATTGAATACTAACAGCTAACTTAATAACTATAAATTTATTAAAAATTTAATAAATCCTCGACACAAATAAACCTAAAAAAAAGCTAATGACCTCAAAACGGCTGAACAGTAGCTTTCAAACAAAAACTCATCATAATCAGTAAATTTAATTAGAAGCTACGAAGCAGACACATAAACAAGGCAAACGTATAACACTCTTCTTTTTACATTGGAAGTTAAAAATAACTATTTTGTTTGAAAAAGTAAATAAATATATTTACCATTTATATACATATTTCCAACAGTGACACGTCAGATACATCAGATTTGGTCGGCGTCGAAGATATGATGGAGTTCAACTACGATAGCACGCCTACAAAAGAATCCGCGGATCCGGTAACTTGCTCCTTTTTATAATTTTTTTTAAGTTACATTTATTTTACAATTTTCGATCGGAATTAAAAGATTTATTAACATTGTTTAACTAAACATCAGTTACTATTAAAATACTAATGATGACAAATAGTAGACGATTTACTCCAAAATGATACCACTTTTATAGTTCCACTAGTGTTTTTTATATTTATTTAATAACAAAATTATAGTTACAAAAACATTACACAAAGAGATACAAGAATGGTATGCTAAAATTCAAATCATTCTTTTTCTTTTTTTAAATATACTATATGGCTTCTTTCCAGCCATGACCATACCGCCCACCAAGGACTATATGACAATATTGTCCTTAATCCGCCCACCATGAATAAATACTCCACAGAAATAAGATAACTAGAGAATAAACAATGTCCTTGATAGAAATTTAACAATATTACACTACATATAATAATGAACAAACATAACATAATATTTTGAACTGCTTTAGACCTAAATTATAGTTATCAATTAATATTAGACGCTCACTCTTAAAATAAACAAAATAACTTATTCAGTTAACGGTAGAAAACAAAGTTTTGATACAGCCCTTTTTATAATGCTGTTTTTGCAGCGTAAACTAACAACACATGTAACACCGTCCATTCCCGGGTGCTTATCAACTATAATACCATAAAGCCATCGTGCTGGCGGAAGATCATTCTCCATCACCAACACTATGTCATCTATTTGTAGTTGTGGGACCTTATGATTACATTTATATCTATGATGAAACCGAAGGAGATGCTCAAGTAAACTTCTATATATTATTAATGAGATTATAATGTGAAAACTGTGTAAAATAATGTACTGATGATATGTACCATTAATATTAGTACATTGTGACTGGCCATCAACTCTTAGAGTTTCATCTTCATCATTCCACGGATTCCAGAAGGTAAGTACAATTTTCTTTTCTAATCTACTAATAATAATACTACCTATAATAACACTACTGCTAATCTTTCTTTTTTCGTTCAGGTTCTTTAATTCATCAACCAGGTAAGTTTCTTGAAGATTCTTTAGATACTGTAACCATTTATTCAAAAGTTGTATTAGTAATTCTTCATATAAACCTATTTCAGAGAGCCATAACTTTTGAATGAATATTTTTGCTCGAATAATAACAGACAGTAACCATTCAACTGAATTAAAAATCCAAGAAATATCAGAAATAACTTTTCTTTTAGTTACAGGTGTCTTCACTTGAGGCAGTTGTACAACATATTCAAAATGATCACTGCTTCAAATTCAAATTCAAATTCAAAAATCATTTATTCATGTAGGACATTTTAGCCGCTTATGAACGTCAAATTTTTACATTATAATTTTATATTTACCCTACCGTCCAGTTCGGTATATAGATCCAATTGAGAAGAACTGGCAAGAAACTCAATTGAATTACTTTTTTTTTTAAAGCCAGTTTATTTACAATGTATATTTATATAGGTGTCTATGTCTAACATTAAATGAAAATTCAGTGCATGAACAACTATTGCCATGCACACTCGTCATTCAAGTAATCGTTTAGTGAGTAATAGGCTTTGCTCAGTAAATATGATTTAACAGATGTTTTGAATTTATTTAAGGGTAATTCCAACATATCCTTTGGTATCTTATTGTAAATTTTTATACCTATTCCCATAAAAGACCTATTAACTTTTTCTAAACGATACTTGGGGACAGCAAGTTTGTCTTTAAATCTAGTATTAATATTATGAATATTGCTGTTTTTTGGAAATAAGTCAAGATTTTTATGAACATATAGAATATTTGAATATATAAATTGAGAAGCAACGGTGAGAATATTTGCCTCTTTGAATTTCTCTCTTAATGAGTCACGACTCTTCATACAGTAGATCGCTCGAACGGCACGTTTTTGTAATATGAATATATTCTTAATATCTGCCGCTTTTCCCCATAGTAATATTCCATAAGAGAGTAAACTATGAAAATAACTAAAATAGACTAATCTAGCAGTATCAGTATCAGTGTACTGTCTAACTTTACGCACGGCAAAAGCTGCTGAACTTAGTTTCGCTGCAAGGCTTTGAATTTGTGCACCCCATTGTGTTTTATTATCTAGTGTGATTCCTAGAAAGACAGTAGAGTCTATAAATTCGAGAGATTCGTCATTTAATTTAATATTGCAATTAGTATTAAAACTTTTAGCTAGAGAGAAATTAACACATTTTGTTTTTTTAGCGTTTAACATAAGATTGTTAGTTGTAAACCAGTGCAGGAGACGCCGCAAAGCACTATTTACATCGTCATAATTATTAGTCATTCTATTAACTTTAAAAATCAATGAAGTATCGTCTGCAAACAATACTATGCCGCATCTATCCTGCATGGCATATGGGAGATCATTAATGTAAACTAGGAATAAAAATGGACCGAGAATAGATCCTTGAGGTACACCCATTTGCACAAGTGACCCGTCAGACGTAGCGTTGCTAATCTTCACTTTCTGTATTCTATCAGATAGATAAGATTTTATTAAATTTAAAGCATTGTCTTTGACGCCATAAAAAGCAAGTTTTTTTAGCAATGTATTATGATCAACGCAATCAAAAGCCTTAGAAAGGTCACAAAAAACACCTATCACATCCATTTTAGTTTCCCATGCAGCAAATACGTGTCTAAGCAACTCTGCACCTGCGTCTGTAGTTGAACGACCTTTGGAAAAACCGAATTGACTATTGTGGATTAAATTATTTAAATTGAAATCTTCGATTCCAGGTAAGTCCTAGAATTTTCATAACACTATTTATTTTTAATTTCACGCTTCCTTGTGAAGCTTCTTCTTCATTAATTACTTTCAATAATTCATCACCATTACTACTCCATTTCTGAAGCTCAAATCCTCCTTTTTTCAATAACTCATTTATCTCCTTATAGATTTGAATACCTTCTTCGACTGACTCACAACCTGTTAGTAAATCGTCCATATAAAAATGATTTAGAACTCTTTCAGCAGCAAGAGGATAATTTTTGCCTTCATCATAAATAATTTGATGTAAACGCCGAACAGCAAGGTAAGGTGCTGATGCCGTTCCAAATGTTACTCGTAATAGTCTCATATGTTGCAGTTCACTTTTCGGATGATCACGCCATACCAGACGTTGAAAGTTAGTATGTCTTTCTTCAACCTTTATCTGTCTATACATTTTAATTATATCAGACACAAGACATATAGGATAACGACGCCAACGTATTAAGAGATGACGCAAGTCAGCTTGAAGAGTGGGTCCTACTAATAAATCTTGATTTAAAGATACGCCATTTGTACCAGGACAACTTGCATCAAAAACAACTCTTACTTTTGTAGTGGTTCTATCCTCCCGCACCACTGCATGGTGTGGTAAATAGACTGCTTCAGGATCATCTTGTTCAGTTATTGGTACTTTCTCCATGTGTCCTAATTCTAGATGTTCTGAAATGACTTCGGCGTATTTAATTTTTAAATTAGGATCCATTGATAATCTTTTTTCTAGTTGCAAAAATTTTTTAGTTGCAATAATTTTAGAATTGCCATATTTACAACTGGGATCATCACTACGGAATGGAAGATTAACTATATATCTTCCTGAACTGTCCCTCTTCGTACTATTTGTAAATATTTCTTCACATTTCTTTTCTTCCTCAGATAAATGTTTTTTAATATCTATATTGTTTTCAGCTTCCAACTCCCAAAATTTCTTTAATAAGTCATCTTCACTTACATGAGAAATATGCATACTAATCAGTGGCCTTTGTATATTATTTCTATCTATATTAACAGGGCCAGAAATAATCCAACCAAGCGTTGTTCGCTGAGCTATAGGTACACCTGGTGGACCTTTAATTACACCATCTAACAAGATCTGACTGTAAACATCTGCTCCGAGAAGAATATCGATTTTGTTTGGTGTATGAAATTATGGATCTGCCAGTTTGATATTTGAAAACTCCGACCACAGTTCTACAATAATTTGCCTCTCAGGGAGGATTGAAGTGAGTTTACTCAAGACAAAAGCTTGAACCTTAAATGTAAAATTGGGATCATGAAGTGATTGTAATGAAACCGATACCATAGACTTAGAGGTCAATGAATGACCCTGATCACTTCCTAATCCTGTAATTACACTTTTGTGTGGTATCTTCTTTAAGGTCAGCAATTGCACAGCAGATTCAGTAATAAAACTAGCTTGAGAACCTGGATCTATTAAACATCTCAGTGTGATACCATTACCTGATTTCGATTGTGCGCTAACTAATGCTGTTGCAAGTAAGACTTGACAGTTTGAGGTCGAAACACAGGCCGTGACACTAGTGGATTGATCTACAGACGGTGATGTTGTTGCATGTGCAACGACATCTTGTTCAACCGATTGATTTGCGATACCTGTAGTGTCGGTTGAATTGATATTGGTAACATTTTTTAGATGGAGTAGAGAATGATGCTTCCGTCTGCATAAACGGCAACGAGAGATTTGACGACAAGCATATACTGAGTGCCCTGAACATAAACAATTAAAGCACAAACCCTGGGAATGAACGAATTCGCGTCTAATATCAGTTTCCTCTTTAGAAAACTTTTTACAATTTGCTAAACGATGACTTTCAGAACAGTAAGGACATATAAAATTGGTTGTGTGATATACTTTAGGGCTATTATTAATAACATTACTTTTATGCACTACATTAGACTTACACAATTTTGGATCAATAAACTCTAACGCTCTAAATCTAGTTTCTAAAAAGTCTTGGAACTGCTTCAAGGTAGGTAACTCATCTGAGAACTCGCTGATTTTGAGTTCCCGCTGCTTGCGAGACTCCATATCTAATTTTTGACATATAATATAAATAACAAGCACGTCCCAAGTACTGATGTCTATTCCTAAATTGTTAAGCCCATGAAGACATTCATTAGTAGTATCTAGGAACTCCTTTAATGTATTAGCTGATTCAATACTGATGCTTTTTTGATTCATAAACCTTTTCAGAATACAGTTTGAAAGATATTTTTTATTATTATATCTTCTCTCCAATTGTTCCCAGCAAATAGTGTAATTATCATGCGTAATCGGTACATGACGTAGTAATTGCTCCGCTTCCCCAACTAACAATCCTTTCAAGTAATGCAGTTTTTGTACGTCATCTAAATGTTTATTATTGTGTACCAATGATACGAACAGATCTCTAAAACTAATCCATTCTGAATATTTGCCTGAGAACGGAGATATAGATATCTTGGGCAGCTTTAAATTGCAATTAAGATCATTATTACTATTGTTTTGTTCGGAACAACTCGCACTTTCAGTACTAGACTGCCTTAAACTAGTCAACGCTTCCTTCAGTAGAAATTTGTATTCTATATATAACTCTTCAGTAGAATCATAGACGTTATTACATACGTAGGAACTAGCATTCAAATCTTTGTAGTTTGTATTTTGAATGAGTTTTGTATGTGTCGAACTAAACTGACGCCGTAATTCTTCTAAAGCTTCCAATCTAGTACTAATATAATCTATAGAACGAAGTCGCTGCTTGGGTGCCTTTTTGAAATTGGACTTTGCCTTACTAATTCTTTCATTTAAATCAAGCTGTACTTTTATATATGAATCCATTGTATAAGTTTAATTTTAAAGTTTTAATAATATCCAAAGTTTTTACAAGTAAATATTTATATGAAATGTTTAGAGTAAGTTCCTTAGTCTTCTGTAATTAGATAAATAAAATGTACTCACAGTTCACCAGCACTTATCACTTACAAACACTATGTTTAGTTCTTCTTCAATGTCCTTACGGCTGCAATATGACGATACAATATTCAGCAACAACAATTGACGCTCGCAGACTTCGTACAAAAATGCAGTTTTTAAATTTGTCGTTAATCCTCGATAATCCGGCTCGAAGGACCAAAAATATAGACGATTTACTCCAAAATGATACCACTTTTATAGTTCCACTAGTGTTTTTTATATTTATTTAATAACAAAATTATAGTTACAAAAACATTACACAAAGAGATACAAGAATGGTATGCTAAAATTTAAATCATTCTTTTTCTTTTTTTAAATATACTATATGGCTTCTTTCCAGCCATGACCAAATAGGATCGATTGAATACAATTAATTATTGGATATGGTAAATCGGTTTTTTTATCCAAAAAAAATTTTAAGAAACCTATAATATGCATTCCACTACTACTCGTTATTTTTAACGCTTACTTATTATTTTCCAGTCAAGAGACACGGTGGCCACCCACAGCAATAACTTCGGCTTTAACGCTAGCCCATTCAGTACCGAGTTCACACACAACTTTGGACGATAACGTAGTGACGGACTAGCGGAAGAGGCAGCCCGCCCCGCACCTTTGATCCTGGGAGAGCTTTTAAACGCCTTTATTTTCCTCATCTATATCCATATTCTATGTAAAAATCTAATTCTTAATGTCTAATTTAAATTTCATTTGCAAAATTTTAACTAAATAAACATAAACGCTTATACATACAAATGTGAACTAAATAATAAGCTTGTAAAATTAAATAAATTACTTAAAACTCGTTCAAATTTCCCACCTCGGGATTCTGATGACCTTAATCCGCCACTGTGGTAACCCGTGTTTCATTCACGCGCCGCACTGCCATTTACAATAACTCCACAGTTTTTATGCTATGTACTAACTTAAAATTTGCCAACCGAGTGACGACTCTCACGGCAGAAAAAAGGCGCGAAAATACTTGTGTTGTCCATATTTTAGGTACATAAAAATTATGAATTACCGATAAAATGATTCTATTTTTATTTGTAATTATTTAAATCTAAATTTCAATGACTGTATAATCAATAATATAATATTTTTTTATTACTAACATATTTGTATATATGTAAATAGTGTGTATTTTATTTTTAGAAAATTAAATCAATAACTAAATATTAAAATTAGTTTATTTATTACAATTGCTGCAATGTTAATGCTGATACGCACAGCTTATTAAATCCTATGAATAATTACGATGTATTTTTCTTTAGTTTACAAACATTAAAGTCTATAGCTATTTAAGTTCTCTATTGAAACTATCACGTTCGTGTCACTTCTTATTTTTTATTACTTATAATAATATTAAACGTAACTATTACCAGAAGGAAACTGCTTGGGCACCTTCGTCCCATTTGTGTTATATCCAAATGACATTTTTTTGGAGCAACAGAAATAATTCAAAATATTGCTGCAAACGGCCAAAAAATTAATTCTACGTTCAAAATCAAAGTTTATCACAAAGTGGGCTCATTGCATAAATTCAACAAAACGATACAGATAATTAAAAACGTTATCGAAGTTCAGAAGCAAAAAATTATTGCTACCACGAATTACTACAGATGTGCCTATTGAATTCAAATGCATTTAATTCCCAATTAGATTGGCATTCGCAATTTTATATATTTTTTAAAAATAATGTATGGCAAAACAACGTTTGCAGGGTCAGCTAGTATATAATATATAATATAGAGCGTTCATTGTAGAAGGTAATAAGAAATATATACAGGTGGATATCCCTTAAAGGCGTTTCTTTTAACCAACCTTAAGAATGCAAAAGGAGACAGTATCTATAGGGTTTGTATATAAAGCATAACATAGATATTGTAATTTTATCTTACTAATAAATTTGTAATGAGGCCATATCCATATTTAAGAGATATTCAAGTAAAAGGTCTTAATAACACCAATAGATGCCAAATCAATAATTTTTAGAAATTTTGTTGGTCTGACTCTCAGCATGTTTATTCCAGCATTAGACAAAACTACATCAAATTGGATGCAATGTCTACATCTCAAATTCTCAGTGGTCTATTAAAAAAAAAATTCTACTTCTAAAATCCATATGTACAATATAGTAGGTAAAAAACTAGTGGTCTATAATTTGGAGTAATATTAAAAGTACATGAACTGATTTAACTGTGACCCTATATACATGTACATTTCTATTTATATATGATTTTTTTTTTGATGGTTGAAATAAAATGGTAACCCCGCCTGCGCTAACAGGTTACGCTGGCGGAGCACCAGTGAAGGGTGAGAGATGAGAATGAAAACAGGACAGTTAGCCCATCATGATGAATTCATCAGGAATTAACCATGATAGTTTCCAGGGGGAACTGCGAGGAGGTCGACCTGGTTAGGTATATTGCTAGCAATGGGATTCTCAGTCTCCATTACTAATAATCCCTTTCCTCCCTTATATATGTATTAGATAATGTAATATATCCCTAAAAGGCAGAGTTTATCCTGTAATAATGCCCTCCTCGCTTCTATTTGCTGTGCCCGACAGGGTCTACAATATACTATATCAATTACTGACATCTTTTATAATATTGTAGAATGCAATAAATAAATTTAATTTAATTGAATAATAATAAAGAACTTTAAATGATTATACTTGTTGTATCATATCATATTAGCAATAATATAACCTACCTAGTACAACCATATCCTATATGGTAGTGGCAATTGCATTAGTTTTAAGGCTTAAACAAACTTTAACATATTAATATAAGGACCATATCAGGATGTCACTAATCATTCCATCAACCTGGATTTGGGCACAGGCAAATCACCACTGTTGTGCAATGATACTTGCTAAATACCCAATATCAATGAGTAGTAAATAAAACCGTAGAAAAATATTAAATATAAAAATTTATTTCTTAAACATATAAACTCATTTAATCACTGATAATCAACCACACATGTTCTCCAGGAATGCCAAAACAGATTAAATTTTAATTAGTTCAATATCACACATAAATGCCCACCCATAATAACAAGAACAAAATACCGAATCCAGAGAATAATGCGGCGACCAAGGATAAAAGAAGTTCTTTAAATAAGTCTCTGGACAATTTGGTGCTTGTAACTTCGTAGACGAAAAACCAGGCCGTGAAGAATATGCCGATGCCGAGCAATAGCAGCGTTAGATGAGGAAACACCGCCGGATTAATAGGTGATGCATAACGCACCATCGACTCTATTTCCAACTGTAAGTTTTAAATTTTACATTATTTTTGCAAATAAAAGTTTAAACAAACAAATAATAATAAACTATTGGTGTACTTACGCTCATTTTTTTATTTTTTTTTATTAGTTTCGTCTAATATTTAGAAATAACACGCCGCAAAATTGAGCAATAAATTATGAATGACACCGTCCAATAAGATTGTGACAGCTGTTAACAGATTATTACGGTATGACAGTCTATGAAAGCTTTTTAATTTGAAGTTTGAAGTAATAAGTAATGGGATTGAACGTAAATCTGTAATATCGATATTAATTGTTTAAAATAATTGTAGGCAAACTACAGACCTAGCATAACAATAGGACACCCAGATACAAATACTTTAAAAAAACAGTGCCATAAACGATCATGTAGATAATACTATCTTATAATTGTGATTTTAGTTGAAAAATCGCTCCATAAAAGCATTGCCAACAATTTTTTATTTTACTCACACGCTTTGTATATTGATATCGGATATGATCACAAATAAAATACAGCTGTTCTTCTTCTTCTTTTTTTAAAATGGCTTCTACCGTAGAATACACCATGTTGTTATTTAATCTTTGCACTGATTTAGTATCATACAGCTTTGATTGACATATGAACATTTGTTTTTTTTCTCTATCTATGAAGGAATGAAAATCCAATGTTTACAGCTGTTTTTATTTCTAAATAGAAATACTAAATTAATTTTATCACATTGTTCGTATTTATATTTGTATATATTATGTTATTATGAAAGATGTGAAGTTGAAATGAAAAATATGTGAAATGTCTTCATCATGTTTTATAACGAAAATGGACGGGACAGCCATGCACAGTTTGAACGAAATCAACAACGATGCAAAACCTCTGATACCGAAAGAGAAGGTCATGTCTTACGAGGAGAAATCAGTAGGATCCACAGCATTCTTCAAGTGCGAAGCTTGCCCATACATGGCACTGGCTGAAGATGACATTAAATTTCACTTATTTACCGTTCATCCTGACCTTGCTAAGAGCAACGGCCTCGCAGAAAACATACAAATTCCATGTCCAGGATGTAATAGCATTTTCGACACCGAAGAGACTTTAAGAATCCATTTACGCAATCACCATAAAATGGGGATTAAAGATGTCAAGAAAATGATCAAAAGTTTAGTTCAAATTGCTTTGAAAAATACGAAGTTGAAAAAGGACCATAATACTAGTAGTATTACATCAACCTCGCCAAATTCGCAAGAAATCGCTGATGTCAAGATACCACAAGTGATTGAAATAATTCCTGATGCTGTAGCCACTAAAAACAACCTACCAAAAGGTGTTGCTTTTATATCTGTTGATGAGTTGAATAAAATGAGTACACCAAATTTTGAGAAAATTGATCCGAAAGAAATCATTCAAGAAGCTAGCATTAATATTGTGTACACGAATGAAGTGTCCACACAGTATGTAAATGTAGCAGATGAAGCAACGTCAAGCACGAGTTGTAACCTCATACAGGTGTCCAGTGTCACACCTGATTTAATATCATCGGTTCTTCCTTGTGTGACAAGTGAAGCAAACAAGTTGACATCACCATCAAAAGACAATATGGAGTCACAGGTGTCTATGCCAGAATTAAACAAATCTCTTTGTGACAACACAAAAGGCAAAGATATAGAAAAGAGATTAGGGAAATTGTGTTCAGTGATTGGATGCCACACACGGTTAAAAGCGGATGATAAGCTCACATACCACACAAAATGTCACCAAAATGGAAAGCTGGTTTGTCCTGAATGTGACAAAGTGCTATTGACTGTTGAAGCACTGCACACACATCTGTGGAAGGTCCACGAGGTGGACTTAGAGTTGCCAACATGTGAGGTATGCGGATTCAAGACTTACAAGAGGTATAGACTTCTTAATTTGCATATGAAATGTCATGGGACAGTTAGTAACTACACATGTAAGTATGTTTATTATTATGTTAAACGGTTCAATTGTAAGACTCATTAATTAAATAAATAAATGAACTTATAACAAAAAGTAATAAACCTATAATTAATATTTCAATTTATAGTCAAGTTAATAGTAAAAAAAATAATAACAGAACAAAGTTACTATATTAGGTTGCTTGGAGTGTATGACCAATGATATTTTTAGCTATGTTCATGACATGGAGATGGTAATGTACTAAATGTCTCCTACACTAAATGTGTAAATTAGGATATAGAGGATTCAAGAATTATTGTTGTTTTCCTCATATTCCTAAGACAGAAGTGATCAATTTCATAAATAATTTATTATAATTCATAATAATACATCTCAGATTGTTATAAACATTCTACATAATAAATAAATAAACAGTGTATGTAATGATCAAATCAAGTTAAAATTATAAAGGTGTCCTGTCACACTTTCTACTATTCTTACAAACATTTTAAGAGTGAGCTTGTTTGTTTGTTACCTGATAGTTCTTTAATCACTTAACCAATCACTATGAAATTTGGTTACTTTTTATTCAGATCCCACAGACCAAGCCACATGTAAAAGCTAGTAACTTATAATTGTTTCATACCCAGCTCAAACCACAAGTACAACAAACAAACAAACTACAGAATAATTTTGCTGTCATACTTTCAATGAGAATCAAAACTTAAATCTCATTCCATGCAAAACATTAATGTTACTGTATAAAGTGTCATACAAATACTTTTATTTCTTCATCACCAGGTTCAATATGTTTAAAGGCATTTAAAAATGCAAACCAATTATCGAAACATAAATTGTTTCACAAGAAAGAAACTGATGTTGTGCAGTGCACAATCTGTCAGAAGGAATTCAATGATGAGAGGAAACTCAAGACCCATGTATCTGCAGTTCATGAGAAACTGAAACCTTTCAAATGTATCTACTGCAGTTACACATCGGCTAGGAAAACCGAGATGAAACTACATTCACGCTCACATACTGGTATGATCTTTGTTTGTATCTCACAATTTCATCTGTATGAATCTGTATATCAAATACTCTATGTTCCAAGTTAGGATATAACTTATATCTTTACCAAATTTATTTATATCTGTTCAGTAATTTTTATATGAAAGAATGGTGAACATCCTGAATTGATCACAAACTTATGCATTTATTTATTTTATTTGGGATAACAACAACTTTTTACAAAATTGAATACGTATTAAATTACATTTACTACATATTAGCCAATAATAGTTATCCACAGCGCAAAACAAAAGCATCCGTTAAGCAAATAAAACCATATTTCATAACAATATTAGTATGATGCATCCGCTACAATGCTCGCACTGTACGTATACTGGTAGGTATTTATAGCAATATATAGTAGAATTTATCATAAATTATAGTTAACAAAGCTGCATGGATGTTCTTCTATTGTTATATTTGTCACAAGCTTTGTATTTTACAAGTTGACAGGTTACTAAATTAAAAGATTGCTAAGTTTACTTTTTTTTACATAATTTGAGATCCACTGACCACTTGAACTCATTGAACACATTTATTAAACATAGGTGTCCCCTTTAAACAACTCCAAGTTAAGTAACAAATTGGTCTTAATTGAATTAAGAATCAAATTTAAAGAAATATAATAGAATGTATACTTATCTACTATTTTCATATATAGTTACCAATATTATAAAAAAAGATTTGAGTTTTTGTATGGTTATTTATTAATTTGTTTACAATGGATAAATAAAAAAAAAACTCAACCAATTTTTAAATTTATTTCACCTATAGAAAACTACATTATCACCAAAGTAACATAGGCTATATATAATTTAAAAAAATATTTGAGATCCCTACGAAAATTACAATAATATAAGCCATAGTATTAAAAATTTGCCTATTAAAGATAATATAAAATGTTAATTTATTTTAACCAGAGCGGATCGCTAATCATTTATAGATTAGGAAGAAAAACTTTTTCATTAAGCGGAAAATCAATATAATATGATCATTTTGCAGGTGATAAACCATATGCTTGCAACCAATGCAGTTACAGGTCTGCTGACCACAACGCGTTGCGACGTCACAAGAAACAGCACACTAAAGAGGGAGTGTACAAATGCAAATACTGCCCATACACTACCATACAGTCGACTGTGTTCGCTTCACACATGATATCCAAACATCCCAATGTAAATTCCACTGACATCCACCAATGCCCTTACTGTAAATTCAAAACTGTAAATAAAGAAAAATATGTACTCCACCTCACTACACACAGAGATAAAGAAGGTATACAACTTCTAGTAGATATGATGAAAGTTAAAACAAACAAACCAAGCTGGAACATACCAAGTGGTACAGCAGAGAGTCCGGCCAATGAAGTTACGATAGAGAAGGAGCAAAGTAAAGAATCTAGTCCTAAAACAGTAAACGCTATACCCATTGAAGTATACGATTGTGACAGTTTTTCAGAAAGTATGCCACAGGACTACTCGAAAACATTCTGTGCTACGTCAACGAACGATGTGCAGCCACCTGATTTTAACAATCAAGTAATTGTTACAGATTTAAGCAAAGATGACAATAATTCAGATTGTCTAATCTCTGAGAGTTCCAACGACACTTTAATGGACAGACATCAGTTCACTCAGCAACACCCCCTGGAGATATCTTATGATAATCCTCAGACAAATTTACACGGATTCCTCAATACATCTGTGTCAATGGAACAGTCTTTATTGCAAAGTAACAATGTTAATTCTCTAGCTTCTAGTCATTCTCCTATTGGAAACAGTATAGGGAATAATATCATGAGTAACTTCCCAATCAGATTGCCACCCGTTCCGCAGATATCTGTTCGAAATAACATAATGCTCAAGCCGGTAGATAAACTATCATTTCCAATGACTAAAGTTACTGGGCCCATTATAAAGCCGACACAAATACTCCCTGTGCCATCTTCAAGTAATTCCCCAGTTAATATTTCAAACGAGCCTGAGGGAGTTCCAAGGAAGAAACCTAAAATATCGGTGAAAAGTAATTTAATTTTAAAAGGGCCAGATGAAGAGAACATGTTCCATTCACAACAGAAAATGGCATTTAAAAGATTGGAAGACAACGAACGGTTTGGATTGGGCAGTCCAGTGACGTTCAACAATTTAATCACTACACAGTTCATGCAGCTGCAACCGGAGCCGGTGCTCAGTGAATCGCCAAACGATATATTACCTTATGCCCAAGAGACAATGTTGGACGATTCCTCCACAACGCCTGTCGATAGCGGCATGAACGGTGACTCTCAGATGTTCACTTTCAACCAACAGATGAATGTAAATTCGATAATATTGCTACCGCCCCCGCAGAAAATACAGAATAACGACCCAAGTTACATTAAATTAGAATCGACAATAAAACAAAATACACAATCGCCTAGTTTGGAACGGATGTGCAATGCAAACATACTGACCAACCAAGCTATAAGTAGAGAATACAAAGCCTCCCCGCCGCTTGAGGATATCCATAAAAATATGAGCGAAATAAAAAACGAAGTTAAATCGGATGCATTTTACAACATACCCATGAACAATACAGCCACTAATCCACCTATTATAGATCAGTATTTAATAGATAATCTCATTGGAGAACAGTACATGCCAGGACATGTAGATCTATCGGCAGTTGTGTTGCCAGAAGTGTCTGATGATCAACAGAACGACGTCATAGAAATCGATGACAATTCCGATGATAATAAATTGCTGCCCAGGTATGATATGAATTTCCCATTAGAATCTCTTTACTTGATGCACGATTTCCATTTCTTAGACAACGAGGCTCCAGCCAACAACATGCCCACCGATGTAGCTGTTAATGAAATGAATAGAATTATAAGCGAAGTGCCAATTGTAAATCAAAAGGAGAACATGGACGCGCCGCCGTCTGATAGCTCCGGTAACGATTTCCCAAGCTTCATTCAAGGGAAGAAGGATCCCATGATGAACACTTCAGTTAGGGTATGCACTAATAAAATCAATGTCAAAAATATAGAACTAATGAAAAATTGAATGTAAATAATAATTAGGAAATGCAAATATTTTATACTTTGAAAAGACTGTTTATTTATAAACATATATTAGACTGTTTATTTATAAATATATATTGTTAAACATTAACTTTCTTTTTATATATCATCTCAACATCCTTAGCTTGGTTGTTTTTACAGTAAACAGCTATGTAGTCTTTACTATTTCTAACCTCCTCCCACTTGTATAATATCCAGTCATCAGTGACATCTCCAAAAGGCTTAGGATCCGTATGGACCCCTTTACCATCCCCTGGACCAATAATTATCAACACTCTTCCGGAAAAATATTTCAAATATTCGTTAAAAGCATCTCTGTTATTGAAATAACAGAATAACAAGGCTGTCGTGTCTCCTCTTAACAATAGATTCATTACATTCTTGTCTAACTTGGAGGAAGTGAGCAGGAGAGGTATAAAAGTAGGCGGGGCATATTTACATTGCCACCAAGCGCCATCTACTTCTACTCCTGATACTCGAAAACCTGTAAAATATATTGATAACGTTTTTAGAATTCAGGAAAGGCAATATAGATTACAAAAAAAGAAAAAAATACACATGACTGTAATCCCAGATAGAACAATCAGAGATTGGTCTAGATTGTTACTTAACGTTAGTGAATTCAACACTCGCCAATATAGCCAAGTAGCTCTCTGTCATCCCTCATATTAATTTGGTTTACTTAATGGCTTTGTTACCATATTAAAAAAAATTTAAATGTTACATGTCTGATTACTATCACATTCCAACTCACGCCCTCTAGAGTTTACGATCAGAGAATTTTACTGTTTATAGTATTATTATAAATATATAAGGTAGTTATTATCCACATCTTCGTTAGATTAAGTACCAAAAAAGGCAATGACCAATCAAAATAAAAACTTCCCCAAAGTTTTTTTTTATACTACTGAGGCGCCAACCAATCATACGGGCCCCCCAAAAATTATAATAAATGCCACACAATCACTGCAAGCGCCTGATCCTCAAACTATGATACCCTGTGTTATGAGCAAGCAGGCAGCGAACATCTGAGGGTACAACCGAAAACACTCAGACTCAAGTTAAATCGGAAATATCCGTTTCTTAAATTAGCCCAACCGGGAATCGAACCCGGGACATCCAGACAAGTAGAAATCCATAGAATTTTTTTATACAACTTAGAATGGCAATCAAGCTGACGGCCCACCTGATGGAAAGTGGTAACCGTCGCCTATAGACATGAGCAGTACCGTGATCATAACAAAGTATACTGTTTCGCCCATGATACCCCCCATGCGTTGCCATTCCTGAGGACTCAGATGTTATTCCTTTGTACCCAGTAAATTCACGCCATATCCCACCCTTCAAACCGAAACACAGCCATGCAAACACAACTGCTTCACGGTTGAAACACGAAATTGACAGAGGTACCCAAGCAATCGACTTTTGTACAGTCTCCTTTGGCATTTGTTAATATGTTATCACTTTGTTGACCGGGAATTCTGTCATAGTTGAAATTTTTGAATTTAAACTAAAATTGTAATAAAAACCAAAATACAAGGAAAAGTAATTTTTTAGCCATGAACGCTTTGTAATCCAAACGGTCTTGCCCGTCGTGGTAGGAGGACGTACTTACACGCCAGTGCAACGACGAGTTTACTCGTCACCGGTCAGCAAAGTGTTATAATATTATAGATGCTACATAGTACTATGTACCTAAGGGAATCCAAGCGCAAACAAACTACAAATGAAAATAAACACCAACCCGTCGCCTCACTGAGGATCCATTCCAGCAAGCCACTACCACACCCTATGCTGAGCACCCCGTTACATCCCAGCTCTACCAGACATTCAGTCAAGAAGCGCAAATTTGCCTCTGACGGGAACACCCATAACAATTTATTCCTCTCCGGGTGGTCGTGACACCTGTCCACTATCTCTCGCCATTTCTTTTCTTTGTACAAGTCCACCACAGTGACCACAAAATTGTCTTCGGTCTCCATGTTAGAACCGAGTTCACTGGTGAATAGTGTACGACTCGTTGACACACCATGGTTATTTCTGTAAAAATCCAATTGCTGGCGTATGATCATTGAACAGTCAAGCTGCCGGTAGTAGTTCTGCGACAATTTGCGTAGGGATAGCAGGGTCGTATTCAGAATTCATATTACGATTAAGAACAATTATATGCACTTATTATATTATACCTAAAATTATATCAGCTGACGTCATAGATTATTGATACAACCTCCGACTATCCTGGCCCTCTGAACAAGTAGCAAGCGAATTCATCGATGGAATGGACCTCGATTAGATAGATTCTATGATGTCGACGATGGCCTGGTATACATATTTTATTATTTGCATTTGGACTAAGTATTTCATCCTAACTGGAGTAAAACTGGAACGTTGACGTCACTACCTATACTGATAAAAAAACATTAGATTTTGTTTTATTAAAGGATAAATTTAAATAATACTGAAACAATTTTTAATATTATTTTACCTATAGAGCTACTTGGGCTGTATTTTTTAAGCAAAAACCTCGGTTTCCTCGGTAGGAGAAAAACTAGACTTCACTGTCTCCTAACTCCACATTAACGTAGATCCACAGAACAGAATCAATGTCATTAGCCGTCCAGTAAAATTGAACATTTTTATATGAGGCTAAAAGTTATAATAAATTATATAATATATATAATGGTGCCGGTTATGCACATGCATGGCACACCTGCAATGCCGCTGGTGTTGTGGGTGATCATGGGCGGTGGTAGTCACTTACCATCAGGTGAGCCGCATGTTCGTTTGCCCCCTGTGTTGTAAAAAAAAAAAATACCAGTACGAGTCCAGCTGTTAATTTAATATGAGAGACTCAAAATATAACAATGACCTGTGTTTCCTTGAGATATATGTTCAGTTATACAGTAAAAAGAATATTAATAAATAAATAAATAATCTTTGGTAACAGAACAGGTGTGTGACCTAGTTACGTCCCTGTGTTTTTACCATTGGCGTTTTAATAATATTTGGCTGATGCCCAAGAATATTGTTTCAGTTAACAGCCAAAAAATTATATGGAAGCCCTATCACCTCACGAGACGAGTTACGGGATAGAGGTGTGAATTTAATATATTTAAATAAACAATTAAGATCCATAGAATTAAATATTTCTGTTCTGGATTCTAGTTCTGTTTTTTTTTTTCTTTTTTTATTCATTGTTTTTATACTTGTTTATTTTAATTTTTGTATTTTTTTCTTTCACTTTTTATGTAATAGCTACATCAATATATATATATTTGATAATGAAACGGTGCCCCGTGTAGGTGCAAACTGAAAATCAGCGCTGAACGAACATCAGTCCAGCAAAAGCTGAGTTTGTACCTATTGCCAGGCGCATACGATTACTGCACAATATATTGATTAATTAATATATGTACATTATAATTTGTGAAGAATGGCAATAAATTTAATTTTATTTATTTATTTTATTTAAATTACGACTAGAGAAATAAAAACAAATGTAAGCCAAAAATTCATTTTATTCGTATCAAATTGTCCCGCAATTTCACAAACAATTATAATTATAAAAATTTATTAAAATACACAAATTGATAACAAAAAAAAAATAGCTATGCAGGATCAAAATATTATTAATATAATGATTAGGTATTGTGAAGATTGCATGTGTTCGACATTGGGCTAAATCGCCGAAATGGCGGCAATTGTTGCCGTGTCCAGTAAACTCGACGTAACGATATGCCGCACCACAATTTTTTTTCTGCAGAATATATTGTAACATAATTTTGATTTTTTATTTTTATAATGCTCCATTGAACTATTGAGGATAGAAGGGGAAAAATGTTAGGACACATGATACGACACGACGAACTTATGAACATTATAATAGAAGGTAAGGTAGAAGGAAGGAGGGGAGAGGGAGACCGAGACATAGTTACATCAGGCAGATCAAGGAAGGAGTTGGTGTCGTGTCGTATCAAGAGGTGAAGAGACTCGCTGAAAATCGTAGTGAGTGGCAAGAGCTCCACCGACAAGAGCGCAGCTCTTAAATGGATAGATAAATAGATTTTTATAATATAAATTTATATATTTATATATATAATACATGATGTATATTTGATAGAATTATAGGCAAACGTGACCATTCGTTTTATAACAAATATTCGTTATTAATAATTTAAATACCTAAAGAACGAAAACTTAAAAATATATATATATGAAATGAAATTTATTTGCTAGAAACATTGTAGAAAAGGTGTTGCATTTGTGAAGTTTATAAGTTGTCCATTATGTTTCGCCACATCAAATGGCATGCTAATATTAATTATTGGATTTATCTACATATAGGCCATTTAATACAGGCACATTATATATTTAATTTTCAATTATTTACTACGTTATACAATAAATCACTACTAGTACCAAGTGCACACTTCCTGTGAAGAACCCAGGAAGCTTCTGCGCTTCTGGGCGGAGCTAGGTTGGCTGTACTAGCCACGACTCACACGCACAACGGCCCAAATGAGAGGCTAAGTGCGGAAAACAGAGTCTTTCTCACATTCACAAGTGCACACTTTGCTCATGCATTATAAGCAGTCAATAAAGTTATTATAAATAATAAAAATTATAGAAATGTACAGGCCTACTAGACATGAGTTACTTATATATTATTAAACTGCAGTTTACTTAAGTAATGAATAAAAAAGTAAGTATTTCCCTATAATGTTGTTTTAAATTTGTTTATAGAACAAACACGTGTAGTCACCGTTTTGCTTACGCTAGTGTCGAGTTTACTGAATTTGGCGGTAAAGCGATAGTGTTTATATCACTAAAAATAATATTTTGAGATCAATATGTGGTAGAGATCATGATCTTCAGTCGACATTATAAACTACTAATATAAGAGCCACAGCTCACTCTGCACTATAATACCAATAGTACACACCCCACTAGACGAAATGACAAACGAATCTATCGATAGACACGTTTTCGCTACCTTATGCGTGAAATAGATTCAAGAAAATGAGATTCGCTTATCAGTTGTCTAGGGTGCAGGGGCTACGTAAAGTGGCATACGATTCCGTTTCTATATATGTTTACGATTTGGCCTTACAGGGAAGGAACTGGATTATTTCTTACGAGCTATAAGTAATTGAATTCTTGAGGCTAGGATCGATTCACAAGGTGTAATTTCTCTAATCCTATGTCTAAAATTAAAATTCCAATTTGATATCATATCGAAATCTTCATTCTAGGACTAATAACTTCTATTAGAACAAAATATGTCGTATACCACAAGGTGCTTTAGTGAAGAGAATTAAACTAAATGACAACCCATACTGCACAATATGTACATTGTTTAATTTAATTATGTCTTATGGACTTACTTGATTTTTATACTTTTTTATTTCTTTCTGTATTTATTATCCTAATAAGGTACTGAACTTTATATTTTATACTAGCGGGCCGCTAATACAAAATAAATATAAAGTCCCGGATTCGCACGGGTGGACATTTTTACATTTTAAAAAGTGGCTATTAAGGCGACGGAAGCTTAAAAATTGAGTAATTTCTCCCGTTTTCCCAACATTTCCCTTTATTGCTTTGCTCCTATTGATCGTAGCGTGATGAATTAACCATGATAGTTTCCAGGGGGAACCGCGAGGTCGACCTGGTTGGATATATTGCTAGCAATGGGATTCTTAGTCTCCATTACTAACAATCCCTTTCCCCAATTCGTCGACTGTTAGGCTGTAGGAAGTTCGCTGGGAGAGGTAGTTTCATAAAATGAATCAATCAATTTCATGAAACTATGAAATGAAAATAGTATATGCAGAGATAGTTTACAGAAATTGCGCCTCAAAATCGACCCTAACGTCTATAATAATGATTTTTTTTAATTTATCCTCTGACAATACTTCTTTGCCACCATTATGTCTTATTGACCATCGATATTGAAAAAACTCTTGATTATGAAACGAAAAGAAACATGATACGAAATGGAATCGTTTACCATTTATGAATATATTACTCGGATTGAATCTCGATGCTCGAGAATTTCCACGAAATAAGATACTTTTTTATCACATACTTTTTGGCAAAATGGCGTAATTTTGAACATATAAAATTTACAAAAGTTTGCGTTATTTAAATGTTACAAATGAGCAAGAATTTCATTAAAGTACGTAAACGATTATAGTTGTTAAAAGTGTTTGTACAAATTGTTTAGACATATTGAAAAAGTTAATTTGTTCACAAAAAAAAATGTAAATATCCACACATGGATAAAGTTGGATTGACAGTCATAGATAAATACTAGGATTTAACCTATCTTAGTTATAGTTTGCTTCAATAAAACTTAATGAAAATGTAAACAAACGGATAATCGATGCTACCAAAAAACAGTCCACTGATGCAGTAGCAGAACAAAAAAAATTTATTGATTTATTTATCGTAAACTGTGTTTCTGTGATAAATACATCAATACTTGATTTATTCCTCATCAAGTTCTATTGAGACAACCTATATCTATTACAAGCTCCAGGGACGATCAAGCGGCTTGAGTCAAGCACATACATTTTGCTGCACATAAGACAAATACCTATCGAGTAGTTCCGTATCTGTCTTACAAGCATAAAACATACGTGCTTGACCGTTTACGAATGTCTTTAAGGAACTCATTTCTATACGAGATCATCTTTGTGTCTATGACAATTTTGTCACCTTGTTATCTATAAAACTGTTTGGTAATGTCTTACAAAAATTCAATATCTTCAATCCGATAAATACAATAAATACAGGTTGATAGGTGACATAAAATAATACGATACTTTCTTACTTCTAACACAAGAGTCCAAAAATACCGAATAATCTAAAATTAAGGGCCACTGCATTATATTTTCACACTCAATAAGTAAATCTAAATTTAAAATCCCAGGGATAAATACCTATATGGTTAAAAAAAGATCATTGCTACGACTCTTAGGCGAATAATCACGTTATAAAATAAGGCATTATTATAAGTCCATCGAAACTGGTAAATATATTCAATGAATAAAAATGGTACCGATACAATGTAGATTCAGAAACATTATTACGTCATCATAATAAAT